TTCCTGGCTGGTCTTGGTCCCAGAGATTCCTCCAATCCTCATCATCCCTCGTCTATCGGAAACAATCCTGATCAAAAGCCTCTGTTGCAGAGCGCGATGATCCCTGGTTATACGAGTAATGACCAATTTAAATTTTAGCGTTAATTAGCTAAAATCGCGCGAAGAGATAGCTTTAAAGATTACCTTGCAATGCGACAGGCAGTGGACCCTGTTTTACCGGATCCGGCCCCATTCAGCTTTGGCAGTTCCTGCTGGAGTTGTTAACGGACAAATCATGCCAAGGCTTCATCTCGTGGACCGGCGATGGCTGGGAGTTCAAGCTGACGGATCCAGACGAGGTGGCACGTCGTTGGGGCATCCGCAAGAACAAGCCTAAAATGAACTACGAGAAGCTGAGCCGCGGTCTCCGTTATTACTACGACAAGAACATTATACATAAAACAGCAGGGAAACGATACGTTTACCGCTTTGTCTGTGACTTACAGAGTCTCCTAGGGTAAGAGCGCTGCAATATGTCCTGATCCTTTGATTATTCTCTAGAATAGCTTTTGTCCATTTGGTGTAGGCAGTCGATAATCGTCACGTTATAGTGTATTGTTCATTTGTAGATACAGTCCGGAAGAACTCCACGCAATGGTAGATTTGAAGCCAGAGAAGAAGGAAGAAGACTGAGTTTTTGTTATCGGACGTGTTTGAGGACTGTGTCGTTTTGCTAAATGAAAAAAGAAAGTAAAGGGAATACGAGCAATTCCTCGGTATCGCACTGGAACAAAGTTAAAACTGATAATGTAACGAACAATGTGAAACGAACAAACGAGACGGAGGAACGAGTAACTGGTGTATTGTTAAATGAAAGAAAGAATTCTACTAATGAATCGAAGACGAATCAATTGATGTCTTCTAACGTTCAGATACATGATAAAATCGAATCGGTCGTATGTACCAAAGACAGGGTCTGCATACCATTGGTGCCTAAAGTTAATGACTAAAAAATTGTGAATTTGTTTCTAAGTGATTAATTTGCCAAGCCAGATTTTAGAAGATATTTATAGGAAATAACTCAACAATTTATACATATTATATATATATTATACATATAAATATATATAAATATATATAAATATATATATATATTTTTAATGTTACATGATTTCTAAGCACTACGTCGAGCATACGATGCGTCTAAATTATTTATGTCCCATCATTTTAAACGTGCGTGTTATATCTCGTTGATAAATAACACCATATGTGATTGTTATTACTATAATTTTACTACAATAAAGCCATTATACCATTATTATAGACGGCGAGCTAATCGAATTCGACGTTTAAATGCTTTTCTACGCGTAGATTATTACTAAGTTTTAGTATTAAAAATACTGTGTTTCCGAGCTCGCTTGGCTGCAACAACTGTAAAACAAACTTCCTTTTATACTATTATCGATTTTTCTTTTTCCTACTCACTTCCTCGATGTTTAATATGCGACCAGTTCCAGGTGAATAATGTTTGGAAAATTATAATTAAGAGCGTTTCAGGTGCGAAGAAAGTATGCTGTTAATTTCGCTGCAAGTTGTATGTTCGGACGCGTTTCTTCATTTAACGAAATTATTTCGTTTCGTTGATCTCTGTTTTTTTTTTTTTTCTGCTAATAATTAAAAACGATTGTTCTTCGAAGGAAAGAGCGACGCGTAAAAGCAGCGTTCAAGATCACAGATGCGTATAGCAGTATTTGTAATAGAAGATGATAGTGTTTTTTTCAGCCTAATCGTCTATTTTCAAAGTATCGCAAAAATTTCTGTCGAGAAAATGATTTAAATTCGATACTCTTCTTTCGCTTTGTAACTCACGTGCATCGTCGTTAAACGCGATACGAGGTTAAGGTTATGTAAGACTACTTTTCTCTTCCAAATACAATTTTACGTCGAACTATGTATAAAATATTGTACGCATAATGTAAACAACGTCTACTTTCCGGAGAATATTTTTCGTTTCGATATTCCAAATTCGTCACAAATCTGTAACACTATCGTTTCGCGGAGCATAGCAATAATTAAAATATAAACGTTCTTAAGTGATACTTTAACGATTCTCATTGTATATAGTGTGTACACGTCTGAAACACTCGAATACACGTGCGTAGATGAAATTTGACGATAATGTTACGACTAGTTTGCGTGATCCTCACCGTATTTGGACGAACGTTTTCTACATTGTAAAAATGTTGTTCTGTTGGGCGTAATGATAATTATAATAATGTCGGTTGTATTGATATATGTATGACGATGGACAGAAAAGAGAAAAGAAGGTGAAAATTTCTTAGGCGCATTGCGTATCTATTTACGCATGTAACGATGTATTTTATATAAATTAAGCTTCTTTAGTTGTGTTTGTTAAATGTTCGGATCAAGAGAGAGTCTACGATAACATAAAAGCTATGATAGAATGATATTCGATTAACGAAGATTATAAAAGAAAGACTCGTAGATCGACGATTGCTTGCGATACGAAAAGAGGTTAACTATCAAATTTAGTTAATCGCAAGATGCGAGATCTTGACACATCCGTCACGATTGTTAAGTTTTCTATATGTAACGGAACAATTTAGACACGTTTATGGTTTACCAACATGTGGTTAACAGTATACCAATTTCGAAAAGTAACTCACGAACAAAGATCGAATAAAATTAACGAAACCACTTTAAATGTGTGTTTCGAATACGTGTAAACATCTATGAAGAAATAACGCTAAGTATACAAATCCTTCCTTCTCTACACTCGACTAAACATTCGTAAATTGTATTTGAATACTCTTAGTCGAATAAAGCAGGAATCGAAAATTATATAAAACTACCACATAATCTGTGTGTAAAACATTCGATTATCGTTTCCGACAATTCTGTGAAGTTACGACAGCGACATGTGAAAATTTTTCAGTAGTTGCAATAAAATAAAGAAATTTTTATAAATATATCTAAGAAACAGACAATTTCATTCGACACCATTTTCGGAAATTAACATGAAATCATTTCTGTTCTATTAAATTGGTCATTTTTAATCTATTTAATCGAATTTCCTTAACTGATAACTTTATTTACCAATTAAACTAGAATTCTTAAATATGTATAATTGTACGAAATAATTACAATTATAAAACACTACGATGATAATTTTATTAACACTGCAAGAATTCGAAACAATTTTCGATAAATCATCGACAAATAATTATATCTAATCTAAAATAATTATAAATTTATTACATTTCTTAGAAATCCTTATTAATTTTACGCAATAAAATTGACTATATTCAATACGGTTATTCAGCCAATACTAATTAAATTTTCCCAAGTATTGTATCTTAAAAATAGATAAAATAATATAGAAATGTAAGATCGTCATTAAAAATAATAATATTGTTATCCACCTACCAAATTACTAGGAAAATGATGAAAACTAAAATCGTATATTTCTATTTAATGTAACATATGTTTACAGTATTTGCAACTACGTCACAACAAATGCGCACGCATTCTTCTCCTTCCCTATCTAACGACGATAACTACGACGTTAGCTTTACCTCGAATGTTATATCGAGAGAATGTATTTCGGAATTTAATACAAATAATTATAACACTAACGTTTAACATTAATATTAATTTATTACTAACATTCAATATTAATATGTTGCTATAAAATGTTAAATGTTAATAAATTTCGAATGCCAGTATGTTTTATGGTAACAATTGGCGGGAAAAAAGTTATTGAATTACGCAGTATCGTGGTATTATCTACAAACAGTAAGTCGAACACTTTTAATTTCTTTAATCCCTAAATATGTCGTAAGATTAAACATCCATAAGCAGTATCCAAGATTGATTGATTTTTGATTGAATATTTTCTACAAATGAACAAACAATCATTCTTTATGTTACTTTGCCACTATGCTCATTCATAGTTGTCCATTGTATGAATTGATTCGAAATACAAGTAAAAATTCAATAAAATTTAGATTAGAATTATCAACATCAATTAATTTCTAATCTTAATTAATATTTAGCGTTTAATTATAATTTTACAATTCTACTTTGATAAAAGTACGATATTATTCGCGGTATATATAGAAATCTGATTTACCAACGATTTAATGCGCATTATATAACGTTGATTTGAAATACAAACCTCTAAGGATCTCTACTTAATCTCGTTCAGAATCACCGTTTAAGGATACTAGTAATTATCTCTTTAATTCCCGCAAATAAAATCTCTAATTACCTATTACTTACATTGGTTCCGTTTTTTTCTTTCTTAATTCATGAACCGTATAGCTGCTTTAAATTTTTTTAGTTAAAATTGTGAATTATGTAGTCTCCTTAGCTGCTTCGATTTTTATTTTCAATTTAAAGATTGTATAGTGCACATTGTGGCATTATTTATGAGGATCGCCGTGATTAATGATCTTTTGTTAATGACTAGTAGAGGGAGACAAAGGCGTGCAGAAAGTTCCATTGTAACATTGTTGTAGATTCTAAAATGGAAGCGTCAATTGTTGGTATGACTGTCGTAACAAACATTGCGGATTGCATATTGGAATTGGTATTTACTATAGTATTTAAACAAATAGAAAGTTTTCTTCTTCTTTAATAGTATGTGAATCATTTCTTTCATACTTTCATAATACTTTTCAACAGGTGTCAAATTCTTTATACGCCAATGCTACTTCAATTGCGATTCGGATTCACAATGCAAAACGTAAAATTCAAGTAGTAGATAATGGTATAGGAATTCAAAAAGTACAATTAAAAGAGATTGCAGAATATAGTAATAAGGATATGTTTATTTATTCAAAGGATATTTCCATTAGGAAGAAACAAACATTGACAGATATTCGTAAATTGTCTAATGCCATGATAATTACTTCTAGATATTATAATTCGTCTGAAACGTACATAAAGGTACATATTCTTTAGAATTAAACATCTATTTTAAATACCACTTTATATAAACTCATAAATTTTTAACATCTGTAGGTTTTTAAGGTATGTCATGATCCAATTATTTGTACAGTTAAGAGAAGACCTTCTCAAGGTACCTCAGTCAGCATTTATGGATTTCATGAATTATCCTTAAGCAAATGGAATGTAGCCTTCATGTATCATCTAATTGGAAATATTGCTATAGCTAATCCACAAGTAAATAAATGCTTAATATTATATTGCCAGATTCTGATACCTCAAATTAAAATATACTTTTTACTTATAGACTTCATTTTCTGTTAGAGATGATCAAGAAAAAAAAGTTACCATGATCATTACAAAGCCACACAATCCAATAGATATTTTTAAATCATTATATAAGAAAGAAGTATTACTTCATAAAATATGGTATATAAAATCTATGAAAAAACCTGATATCAAATTTTATGCGTACATTGGATTTTCTAATTCTAACTTCATTGCTTCTCAGTGTATTTTTTTAAATGACAAACTTGTTCATTGTCCTATAATTTTACAAGTAGCCTCAACAACTTTTATTAATACATTAAAATTCTTTAAAAAACGACATTGTCAGCAGATACCAGAAAAGAGAGCAATTTTTATTCTATTCTTCATTATGTCTAATAAATACATCTTTACTATAGAAAATGGGAAGAAAACTTTAATGTTTTCTGATATGCAAGATATATTGCAAACTATTAGAAAAAAAATAATAAATATTTTTACAAAAAACATTAAACCTTTATCAGTTGATGTTTCAAGATCTTGGAAGAATTCTAGTAAGCAAGAATTTAAAAATAGTAACACACGGATGATAGCAGATAATTTGATACAATTACTTACACCTATTTCACAAAATAATAATTCTAACAAAGAGAACAATCAATTAATTCTTTCTGAATGGTCTAATTGGTCATATTCTGTGAATATGAAACAGTTTGAAAAAAATTCTTCAAAATTTTACAAGCATTTTGATTTTTTACCAGAAAAATTACATAAACTGTTACGTGGAAATAGAAAATTGATAAAAACTGATATTTTAAACGAATATACTAGAAATTCAATAAAATTGAAATCTGGATTGCAAAGCAAGTATTTTTAATTTATCTAGAAAATTAAATTACAGTATGTGATTTATAATATACTTCACTATAAGTTCCAGATATATTACCTCATCAAGAAGTTGATGTTCGTCCATGTAAAACTGCTCAACGATTTCGTGAATTCAAACTGAATAAAGAACTCATAAAACTTATTAAAGTTTTTATTGAATTGAAATTTTTATTTAGAATCATACTAAATATATTAAAGTTATAGCTATTCTTGTTCTTTCAGATATTAGGACAAATGAATAATGAATTGATAGTAGGATTGATAATTCACAATAACACAAAAATGCTTTTAGTAATGGATCAACATGCAGTTCATGAAAGGATAAGATATGAACATTTATTGTATGGTGAAGATTTATAATACTCACATATAAAAGAAAGTTAAAGTAAAATATTAATATTAACCCTGAAATTATTTGTTAGGATACAAATCACAAATGAGGAATCAACTGTTCTCTATTAAATTAAAAGATCCTATAATCATACAACTGTCTGAAAATAGTTGCAATCTACTTCTTTCTTATCATATGATACTAAAGAGATTTGGTATAACTTTTAACGTAATAGATAACAACACTATAATGGTATGTACAGTGCCAGAGTGTTTAAAAAAGAACAAGTACCATTATGATGAATTAAAGTTAAAGTTAAATGTAAAGAATCTTTTAAATGAATTACTACAAAATTTAACAAGTTATGAATGCTATGAAATCACCAATTTACCACCTACTATTCATAATGCAATTGCAATGGAAGCTTGCCATGGTACATTCTTCATTATTTTTATATATTCATAATTTCATAAATGATTTTATAAAGAAACTAACACAACATGGAAAGTAATAATTGGAATATATATTTCTCAATAACAATCTTTAATAAAATATTAATCTCATTCATATGTACATAGTAACATTATATTTGGTATCATCTAATATAGAGTATTTTAGGAGCTATAAAATTTGGAGATCCACTAACATTGAAAGAATGTAAGCGGCTTCTGAAATCATTGACCGAAACAAAGATCCCTACTCGATGTGCTCACGGACGGCCATCCATAATACCTTTATTGGAATTAACGGATTTAAAAAGACGAAATACAAAACTCGTTCAGGTATGTACTACATTTTTTGCATACAGTATTAGAGTCCGTTTAGAGATACATTTAATTAAAAAAGTTCAGGTTTTGATATGTATATTTTTAAAAAATTTTTCAATTCCATTCTACCCAGCAAAATAATATAAATCAGTATTATATTTATGAAGTTAATCGCCAGTTCTAAGATAATCGCATAAAATACATTAAATATTACTATGTCAAAATTTAGATTCTAAAAATGAAATTAAATATCGGGATATCCCGAAATTAAGATATCTTTTCCAAAGTAATTGATTCCGCTCACGAAAATTGAAAACTCGGTTCCTCCCAAGGAAACGGGGCAGAGATTGTTAGGTCGAACAAAGAAGCACATAGTGTACAAAGCGAACTCCAATTCTGGTGATGTACCAACAAAAAGAGTTGTCACGGGTTGCACTATTCCATTTAACGATGAACGTACTTTTAAAATTGCTCCTTTCTGTGAAGTATAACGTAATGAACGTTAGTAATACGAATTGTTTTGGTAAATCGTTCTGCAGATATCTCACGTTATTACTTACATCACCCAGTTTGACTTCCTTAATATATCCGAGATAATTAAGTTTCTTCTCTGCTTCTTGTTTTGCGTAGTAAATCCAATTGTGTAGACCAATTATATCTGAGTCAAACTGTTCAGCCAGGAACACGGTTTCGAAACCAGAACTTGATGCACCTCCGTCGATACGTTTAAACTGTGAGAACCATAAACGCTTCATGGTATCTCTAAACTCGTATTCATCGTCTGGGATGAATCCTGATCTATCAGCTAAGAATTTCATTGTCGTTTTTATTACATCCGTTTCAAAAATTTTATCCAGCAATTCCATTTCCTCTTTACGCTCGTCTGCCGTGACTATCTCAGGTGTTTTAACATCCAGCTCATAGTTATCGTATAAGGGTAGCATGGCTTTTACAGTTGGAATCTCATAAGCTTCGTCTTTTACAGTCAGCAACCTAAAGTACATAGAATATAATGGCAATTCGTGATTTATTTCGTAATTCCTTGAATTCAAAATGAATTTACTTACGGTTCGGTAGCGTCGTCGTTAGTGCTCTCATCCTTCTTCTGGCCTTGCAGATTTATCGTTATGTACTGGAGTGCACTGTTCTTTTCTTTCTCGAATAAACTCTCGGTTAGCTTTTTGATATCGGCATCGGAAATGATGAATCCATGAGGATTAGCATTGTTCTGTCCTGATGTTTGAGAGTTAGCGTTATTCGATGATGCACTGTTGGTACCGGCATTATTCTGCGAAGTTTGTGGTGTTTCAGCAGCAGGTTGAGCCGCTGCTGGAGCTGCTGGAGGTTGAGTAACCGATCCAGCTAATGGTTGTACCGCAGGTACAGCTGCCGATTGGTCAGAGCTTGATGCTGGTGCTGGTGCTGGTGCTGGGGCGGTTCCATTGTTGTAGTAATTATTATAAGTAATTTCGGTATGAGAACCACCACCACCTCCACCACTACCTCTGGTACCATAAATTCCTCCTGGTAGTAATCTAGATACAGCTGCATTTACTCCAGCACTTACACCGGCAAAGACGAACGCTTCTTTTGCTAGTTGTCCGAGACCAGGTTTTTGCGCCTGCTGTACGAAAATTGTACCTGGACTAGGGGCCTGCCCGAAGGAGGGACTATACGATGGCTGTCCAAAGCCTGGGGAAGGTGCATGTCCTAATGGACTATAGCCATGTCCTTGTGAAGGGTAGTACCCTTGTCCGGCTGCAGGATTATAACTTTGCCCAACTGGAGGATGGTAACCTTGTCCAACTGAAGGATTGTAACCATGTCCAACTGAAGGATTGTAACCATGTCCAATGGAAGGATTGTAACTTTGTCCAATCGAAGGATTGTAACCTTGTCCAACTGGAGAGTTATAACCTTGTCCAATTGAAGGATTATGACCTTGTCCAACTGAGGGATTATAGCCATGTCCAGCTGAAGGATTATAACTTGTATATTAAATATTTAACTCTATGAATGTCATGTTAATGCCCGGTTACGAAAGATTGACTACCTGAAGGGTTGTATCCAGACTGTACGTTCGTTGCACTGGTTTTAGCGCTGTGTTCAAGTACAGGAGCAGACGGCTTAGGTGCGGTATTGGTCCCACTTGGTTTCTTATCCGGCACGTTCCATCCTATTTTATCCGGGGTCGAACCTCCTATACAAGAAAAACCTGTTATCCGTGTTCTTTAAATAGCTGGCAAAGCTAGTTACTGGTTTTAACTAACTTTGCCCAGTTGAAACAAAATTCAATTCTTGGGTAATTAATCGATAATCAATCATGTGTTCTTGTGAGAAAAATAATTCAATTACGAAGAGGAGAATCTCGAATATACCGGTATTAAAAAATGCATACCACCTTGATTATGTTGTTGACGTCTGTTGGAGGATGATTGAGAGGACCGAGAACGCGGCGATGACCTCGAACGAAGCAGAGTTCCCCATCCTCCGCCTCTGCTTAATTTTCCATCTCCAATGTCAACTGTTTGAATAAAAGTTTCGCGATTTCAGTACGGCGTAATATTTTTTGTACGATGATGCTCGATAAATCTTACATACGAATTGTAAAGTGTGTGCTATGAAGGAATTACCAGCTATGAAATTAACGAAGCGTATCATGAATGAAATCTCTGAATAGAATCTTTGTAGAGATTACGTATTCAAATAATTATGCTGCACGAACGTTGCACGAAATATTGCATGTAGAAATTACCAGTAGTTAAATAAAATATAGCGAATTGGAGTTCGAGAGGAGTAATATTTCAATTTTGTTAATAATAAGAGTATTCAAGAGTGTTATACGATTCATAATATTCCACCCACTTGTTGAGTTTCTATATCACTCTATGATAGATTGCAATTCCATTCGGACCCTAACAATTTAACAATTTACTGAATAAGATAATAGTATATCGTTAACACGCCAACCTGACTATTTCCATTAAATCTAGTTTAATGTTTAACGTGTTAAAGTAATTGTTAATGGATTTTCACGCTTCATAAATCAAATCCGTTTCAAAGCCGAAATATATGAGTGTTCTTTGCCATTTTCAGCATTGTAATATCTGATTTTCTCGCAGTTCTTAAGATACTTTTGCAGCCAAATGGCTACACATAGAATTTTGAAAGTTCTAAAATGAAATTTCTGAAGCTACTTATTACAACTCTTGCCGGAACAGTATTTGCTGACGCAGGAATTACCATCATACTTGGAAGTTTCATTGAAAACAACTAGATCTTCGTGACCATATCTGCGGAACGGATACCATGTTTCGTAGAATTACTTAGAATTCATTGAGAATGACTCACCATACGGCCATGACTTTCTAGAAGAGCTACGGGTTTTTACAATATCTTTATAAACCAGTTATAATAGGAAAAATAAAAATACAATATTCACATGTGTTGGTCTACACTCGAAGAAGGATAATTTGCTCTTATTGAGTTTGTTATGATCTATTCAATTGCTAGCTCGTGATGCAATTTCACATTAAAACCAATTAAACGGTTCATAGAACGCTCTGTGCTCGAAATGAACGGGAAATTTCTCCTTCTCCGAAATTCGATTACTTCACCTTAATCGTTTAAAAATGTCAATTTCTGGTTGCTTTCACGAAGAATTCTATGAATAGTTAGTAATTTTATATATTTGTAAATGTCCTTGTTTAAGAAACTTTTGTTCAGTCATTAATAAATTTATTCTAAAAATATTCTTCGCAAAACCTAACATTGCAAATGTTGAAATATTATGTCAATGTAAAACAGATTAAATCCATTATCGTGTTAGAATTCAGTAAATGATTTATAAAGATACTCGCTTACCAAATGTGAATAGAACGAGGATCGTGCAAATCAGAATTAACTTGATATTCATGTCTTTTGTTTAGCTTCTTTTGTTATCGTTCTGTAATTCAAGATCGATGATACAATAGAATAAGATCTCGCTGTAGGATAATCGATGTAAACTGCTTGATGGTTAACACGTTACTAAAAGACTTCCCGTGAACTGACGCACACTAGCCACGTTGAAACCAGTTTGGAATTGCAATATGAATCATACGTCGTCGTAGGCTTTCTCCTATAGCACTGATCTTTGAATATTCGCAACAAGTAGTAGAGACCTAATTAGAAAATCTAACTAGAAACCTCTTTTATAAAAATCTCAATAATCGCGTCTTTTTTTTTAGGAAAAACTGAATTTTGGAACCTTAAGAGTGTACCATGCGAAGAGATTTAAATATTAATTAGAGGAATTGGAATAAAGGAAATCAAAGGAAACTAAATGTAAGATGTGTTATTATTATTTATAATACTAAGTATTGTTTCATATTATTTACTTTAATGTCATTTATAAATTGATATTATAAGATATTCTTCTCTTTTTTTTTTTGTTTTAATAATATTTTTGCAACTTACTATATTATCTATAGAACAATGAAGTCTACGTTCTATATCGAATCCTACATATAATTACTACAAACGAAATATCTTTTATACTAGAATATTGGAAGACCGAGATCTATAATTTCGTTTCCGAAATATGTAAACGAGTGCGTATAGATATTAAACTTGGTCCCACCAAGAGAAACTGGACAGACATTGTTCGGTCTTGCATAAAAGCATATCGTATACAATGACATCTCCAACTCAGGTAGAGTACCCACAAATATTGTTGCGTTTGGTTTAACGATTCCATCCATTTGGAAATTTAGTTTCAACAACGAAGCAGTCTGGAAAAATAATTAATTACATCAAATGGTTCGTACGTTATTATTTCGATAGATGCAATTCTTTACTATTTGTTAAATAGCTTACATTTCCAAAATCCAATTTATCTACGTATCCCATGTAATTTATACGTCCCAAAGATTCTTGGTTTTCGAAATAAATCCAATCTTGTATACCAATAATGGCTGAACCATAATTTTCTGATGCGAACACACGTTCAAATCCGCAACTACTACCACTGAATATTGTGAACCAAATTCGACGAATTACGTCTTTTCTTTCAAAATCATCGGGATCGATGAATCCATGATCAGCTAACCATTGCATAGTTATTGCCATTTCATTTGTATTTAAGAAGGTATCGATCAAAAGATTTTCTTTTTTCCTTGTTTCTAAAGTACGATTCAATTTCTGCTGGGAATCATACGCATAACTATCGTATAAAGATCGTGTTACATAAATTGATGGATATTCTAATAAGTCTGCATCTACTGTGAACAATCTAAAAAAAAAAAAGTAAATTAACAAATAAAAACAATACACAAATTACATAGAAATCAATAGCATAATGATACATACGGTTCTTTAGCTTCATCCGTTACGTTAGGAGATGTAACCCGATTCTGCAAATTCAGTTTTATGTATTTCGATATATCGTGCGATCTTTTTCTAAACAATTCTTCTGATATTCTAAAGAGTTCATCATCCGAAACCCTATAGGAAAGCATACTATTTATATTGGCAGGATTATTAAATGGATTCTTTTGATCATTTGATGCACTAGATCCAGTCGAAGGCGTAATTTGTTTTTCATGTATATGAGATGCAGTAGGAGTTCTGATTCCATTTTCAACTGGAGTTGAACTAAATCCACTAGTATGGGTGTTTGGTTTGTATGGACTGTCATATCCTGATGAAGGAACATTATCACCCACATTGAATACTTCAGTTGGAAAATTGTTAGTAGTAGGCCCAATTGCTTGTGGTGTGCTTGTAGAATTCATATTGTTATTAACTCCAGGTGGAGTATTAAAATACTGATTGTTGTAAGTAATATGAGTTGTAGATGTTGAAGTAGGATCAGGTTTACTTTCCACATAATGATGATGAGTATGAGGATTTAATATTCTATTTACTCCTGCATTAATAGTTGAATAAACAAGCGCTTCTTTAACCATCTGGCCAAAACCTCGACCAGAATCTTGTTGCCCAGGTGCTATTACGACAGTTTGGCCAGGTACAAACGGCTGTACCGCAGGCTGTGCGAGAAAGTGTGTTTGCTGCGGATAATACGAAGGCTGCCCAGGTGCACTATAAGCACCTCCAGGAGTATGCATAGAGTAAGGATTTCCTAATGGGGTTGAAGTTATTTGATCATATCCACGAGAAATAGGATGTGACCACGAATTACTTGAAGGCATGGGGTGTATAGGGTAAGGAGGATGTCCATTTGTAACTGGTCTAAATTGAGTACTAGTAGAAGTTGGATAAGTTTGTGGATAAACATGATCTTTAAATCCAATTGGTGGTGGTGAATGACTTGAAACAGTTGGTTGAGAATTTGATACTAGTGGTTTATTGCTTCCTAAATAAGGATTACTCCATGATGAATGTGGTTGAGCTGGTGCAGTTGGTCTAATATTTCCTAAATGAGATCCTAAATAAGAATTTATTTGGTCAGTTATTTTATGATTTATGGTATGAATATTTTTGTTTATAATATAAATAACTAGTACAGTGCTGATCATAAATTAGCTTTTTAAAGCATGTGTACTTTTATTTTAAAGTATACCTGTATTAGATTTTATCATGTCATCCTGAGGTGCAGATGGGTGATAAGGAGAAGTTTGTTTACTTTCAGTCACAACTCCTGGCTTTCCTGCATTTAGTGGATTTGAAATAGGTTTAGAAGTTTGTGGATATGTGGGATACAATGGTGCAGAAGGCTTCCTTTGTGCTTATAAAGAATATACTTTTATAATTTGTATTTTTTATTTAATTAACTTATCAATATAAAATGCATAAAAAAACTTACTTGGTCGCATGGCTCCTCCACCTTCACCATTTAAAAAGTGTGTATTAATATCCTTGTTCTGTTGAGGTATTGTTGGTCCTAAGATTATAAATAATAATTGTTTTATTGCGAATATTATTTTATATTTTATAAGTACTCAAATTACACAATATATATATTGTGCAAATATATATTAATATTCCAGGAGAATTTTCTTTGAAATGTAAAATAGTTTTTCCCTATCAAACTTTCAATTTTAGAAGATATCTTAATTAGTGTACCTAATATAGTAGATTTACTGGAAGGTGATTCATAACTAGTACCTTTTGGACTGAAACTTGCTCCATGTACATTTCCTAATGAGTTTCCATGTGAGTTTCCACTGTATGATCCACGGGATATTCCACGGGATATTCCACGGGATATTCCACTATGTGAAGATCCACCTGTTTTAGAAATTCTTCCAAAATTAATTTTAAATTTTGCGCTGGTTTCGCCTATAAAGAAAAAATAACAAAATTATTAATGAAAGCACTATATACAAAGATAATTTTGTTATACTCACTAATCACAAAAACCACATAAATAAATATAAAAAAAAGTATCTTAAATTTCATTATTGCTATAACTACTTCACGCTTAATGTTATAGCACTAGCGATCTGTTATTGTCAGTATACTTGAATAATAAATGCGTATATTTCACTTTTATCAAATTACGCTTACGTTTATCAATCTTTTTTTTGTAATTAAATACATCACATCGTACACTTCTCTATGCAGTTTTCCTTGAAATCATAACATAGAGTAAAAGGTTATCACCAATAACCCCAGAGAAGTATGGGTATCTCGAGTAATAAAAACGATTTCTTAACAAGTTTTTATTTTACTTCAATAACAACCTCCACCGGAATATATATATTTTTTATAGAAGTATTAAATTATAAAATAATACATTTTATAAGCTCGTTCGTATGTTATTAATTACAAAATTAATAAATATTCAAAATTGGTGTTAATTGTTATACACTTAACTTACTAATTAAAGTTCATTTTTTATGTACTGAGAAAATTACCATTACCATAAACTATATCTTTTTTTAAAACAAAATATTATTAACACAGCCTTAAAAATACTGGAATAAAATATTGCTCTTTCAAAAGAAATATGATTTTGAAAGTACAATTTAATAGTTTACTTTTCTTTTGAAATATATCTATTTAAAATTGCTTCACTAGGATAGTCTGGAACTGATAACTGTCGAAATGCTTCATCATCTACAAAGCAAATTTCATGACCATCCTAAAAATATTTATAATTATTAAGAATATATATCCATTTGATTATATTTAGAAATGGAGTACACATACTGGATCAGCAAGAATAATAACTCTCACAGAAGCTTTTCCTGGAGTATCTAAAGTGATTAAGTCAGTCAATATTTTATATCCATTATCTTTGATCTTCTTCTGAATTTCTGGTTGTTCTGTATGAGGAACTGAAAATGCTATGCGTCCATAAGCTGCGGCATGATCAACTTCAGTACCTAATTAAACAATGGTTTGATATCTTACTACAAAAAAATATTCCTATCAAAATGTAAGTATTAGAGAGTATTATAAAATTGTTACCAATGTCTTCAAATTCAATCTGTGCTTGATCTTCACTATATCCTAATAATACACTTTTTTTAGTTTGGTTAAATACCTTTAAATTCAAAATATCTTTCCAATAGACAATAGTTTTTTGAAGGTTTGAACTAGATAAAGTAATTTTTTCTATAGGATCTGTTAGAGAAATACAATTTTACTTTAGTGTTATTTTAAAATTAATATTTCAAAATAGTTCTATATTAATACCTTTATTTAAAGGTTGTGGTTCATCAATAACATAATATTTGTAACCACCAGGTGCTTGTAAAACAAATTTTCCATTTTCTTCCTTCATAGGCCATCCATCTGAACGTGCTCTTTGAAGTGCTTCTCTAGATCGGATTGTTATCCCACCAAAATCATTTCCCATTTTATATTCTTTAATCCCATAATTGTAAGTTAATTCTATCACGAAATGAGTATCTTCTGTTCCATATCCTATCATAGTTTTGCTCCATCTATTCCCATATGGTCTACAGTATAAAAGTAAGATGTTCAATAATGAAAATTTGCACAAAATTTTTCATACAACTTTGTGTAGTACATTTGTAGATATAATTACATAATGAAAGAACATAATAAAAATCTATATAATTTAAATTAATTACTAACCCATTACAAGTTGCTTCACAACCTTCAGCAAATTCCTCATGACGTAACACCTACAATAAAGAACTTTCATGAAAATGGGTGCTGATTTGAATTATTGAACTACTAACCTTCATCCCAAGAATTTCACGATAAAATTTCGCTGTTAGTTTTCGATCTGGTATTTTAAATACATAATGTAACGCTCGGCCAGTAACCATTTTTAAAAATCTATTTTTATAGTTGTGTATGAAAATACACTCTTAATCTTTTAATGAACAATAATCTATAATAATAACAAATGATAATGATGATGAATAAAAGTAAATAATTATTGCTGATGAATAAAATATGGGATTTCTACGCTCCACAGTACTTATACAGACGGAACTTTTCCAAAGAATGAGTTAATACTTCGCAATTCTCACTGATGATTAATCATCAAGGATGGAATTAATCTTATGTATTTAATACAAGCATTTGTACTATACAATTATTTGTATTACATACCATATATTATTGTCGAAGTATCTACAAGCGATATGTTCTTATCAGCTTCTATAAAAAAAAATAACAAAATTTTTTCCTGATTAGTTTCTTATTTTATAAGATTGTAATAAAGGTGGCGCTAAAAACAAAAATTTAGTACAATTCAGGTCCACCATCAACGTCAGATCAACGTATTATGTATGGTAGCCATAATAGTAGCAGACGATACATTGGATAATGTCAAAATATATTCACTGTTTAAGCTTCCTACAGAATTAGGAACAATTGATTGTCTTTTTTTAAGTTAGAATATTGTAAAGTCTTATTTATTCAGAAGAATTTATAAATAGATATGATAGAAAATCTTGCAGCTAAATTATGTTTACTTTTACGGGAAGAAGCACATTCAGGTAATGATTGTAATGCATAATTCTTAAATAATATAAATTATAAGTATTTATAGAGAATTATAGAAGTTTTATATAACATTAACGTTGTAAATTGTAGTGTAAATGTTTGTTGGACAGCTATTTATATTTATATATTGTATCTAATATAGTTAAAATAAGATATATCTATAGAATGAAAACTTGATGTTTAGCCGAGCAATGGAAATTACTTGGTCAAGAAAAAGATGGATCTCTATTAGTTGGTTGGACAGAGGAAACTATAAAGAACAATATAAGCATATCATATACAGTTGTAGGCCATTACGACCGGATTAATGATAAGTTGCAGGTATGTTAATGTATATGAATATAAGCTTTTTCATAAAATAAAACTAAAAAATAATGTGATATAGGTATTGCATCAATTCTTAGAAGTTTTAAACATTGTACAAGCAACAATAAACCAAAATCGTACTGTTTTTGGATATGTGACAAAACAAAAAGTTTCTATAGATACAAGTGTAAAATCTCCTGTAAAGTCAGAAGCTACAAAAGAAAAAGAGGAGAATATATCAACTGAAGTTGAAATGTATGAAGCATTCATTGTTGAATTAAAAAGAAAAGAAGTAAAGGTACACGACTTGGATAAAAAAAAGTCTAAACAACTGAGAATTCAATTTTTATACAAAGAAAAGGAACATGAACAGTGGGATAAATTTTTATTATTAATTCATCAAGAATGTAAGAATTTATAATATTTATAAATTGCATTTAAATATTTTTTATGTATCACTAAATATAATTGTTTGATAATACAGGTATAATAATATACACCATAGTGTTTGATATATCTGTATCAGGATTTTATTCAATACAAGAATTAAAATCTGAGTCATTAGTTAAAGCATTTATTTGGGCTCAGTGGGATATGATAAACCAAGTTTTATATCATATACATCATAAAAAAATTCCAATAAGTTTAGTTTCTGAAGATGAAGAAGAAAAAGAAAACAAATCAGTAAGAACTAACCCAACACTCAGTGGTCTTCAATTTCATGATGAATTACCACATGAAACAGTGGTAAGTAAATTATTATAGTCTAATAATAGTTTCAATATATTTCAAATAATTTATTTCTTTTTTCTTAGCTAAATATACCATTGAATTTACCTCAATTATCAACTTCTTCCAACTGTGGAACATATGAAGATGATGTTATACCTTTGAGAGTTCATGATTGTTCTTTAGATCTCATTGTAGTGTCTGACTCTAAAGGAATGGTCTGTGTTTGTCACCATTACTTATATCGCCCAGTAAAATCACAACAGCATGTACTTAATTTATTGAGTGAATCTAATACAGTACACTTTGCATATTCTGTAACGCTTCTTCATCACAGTTGTGTGATACATTGTGTTATACCAGGCATACCGTGGTCTCATGCTAAACTTATACGACCAACGTTCGCAATATACGAACATCATTACATGGTTGTTCTTGTACCAGGTTTATTCACTCACCTTCTTGAAATTGGAACGAATCATGAACCATGTTGTCATATATTATGTGGTCCTTTAACTTCTCTTCCATCCCGTTCTTCTTATTTGGTACCATTGCTTGAATTAGAAATTAATAGCAAAGTAAACAAAAAGAAGTATGATACAATTTCTTTAGAAGGAAATAATACATCTCAGTCTAATACGAATATACTAACAATAGACTTACCTACATTGGATTTAGTACAATTAACAATTTCATCTGACTTTTTTATCGATGTATTTCGGAAAGAAGGTTCGACCGAAATACGCTTGGGCATACTACACTACTTTCTTTGTCATAGAAATGATCTGGATATTATTTCAGAATTAGTATGCACGATTGCAGAGAAACCTAGGTCGTTAGAAATTGTACGGTACATGCAAGAAATTCTTATCGGCGGTTCATATGCTTTAGTACAAAAAAATTTATTAGCAGATGCTATACCTCTATTGTCTTTACTACCTGTTACAACTATGGAAGATTACATAAGTTTTGAGATCAAAGTAAATGATTTAAGTATAACATTAAGTCATGAAAAACTTTGGAATACATCAGTAATGTTACTATCACCACAACAGAGGTTGATTCCTTATCGCAGTGACTTGTGGACTAGATTGTGGGATCAACTTAGTAAGAATAACGGAGATAAAACAAGATTTAAACCAAGCAAAATTGCAGAGAAATTATTAGTTTCTTTAGCATGTTATCAACCTGAAGCATTATCCAGATCCAGTACTCCAATGTCTCCAAGTGGAGGGTAACATTTTAGACAAATCTTCATTTAACCCAGTTAACTACATATATATTTGTCTTTAAACAAATTTGCATTTTAATTTCAGCAAGATACTTTTAATAATATAATTTTTATATTAATATGATACAGATTAATATAAATGAATGATATTTCAGATTAGTTGTGGCCACAGTATCTCTTGGAGATTTAACTAGTAATCGTAGTAATAAACTAATAGACTCCAGTTTACCATTTAACGAAACAGAAAGCTGTACTGCTTCCAAACAAGAACATATTGTATCTGTAAATTTACGGGAATTGTCCATGTACTTATTAAAACATGGTACTCAGACATCAATAACACATGTTAAAGGATCGTGTACTCCGTTACATGTTCATGCTATGGCAACCAGACATGTGGCAGCACAGTTAGAAACATCGCGGGCTCTATGTCAAATGTTATGCCGAGCAGCTAGCGTTGATCCGCGAATTGAACAAGAGCGTGGTTTTATTCTTGTGTAAATAGATTATTTGTGAATAAATATTGATAAGTTTTAACGATATTTTAATTAAAACAATTTTAGCGATCAGTTAGATGAAATAAGACGATGGCTACTGTTTATTCTGTTGGAGCGCTATAGACGCGCGATAGAAAGCATAGCATTTCCAGCACCACAGGGATTTACATCGTTTTTCACTTATCTTGGGTATAGAACTTTAAAATATTCGATGTTTTTACAATATGTACAAAGATCAGTATTTGAATTACAAGTTGATGTCAGCAAAATTATTATGGCTGGTACATTCTTTAATATGAAAATTTACTTTTACCTTAGCTTTTGATATTTAATCCACTTTCATTCAGTGATTTTTACAGATATCAGTGATACAAAAGAAAATGCTGTTCGTAAATTAGCTTTATTGTCTTTACTGCCAAGATCACGAGCGAAAAGGCTTTTAAATCAATGGTTACATCCTGTAAGTTTTATGTTACGAGCTCGTGAACACGCTGCGAGTATTTTATCTGGTGAGGTGTGCCAAACCCGTGGTAGAACATTGCAACACAAAAATCATCATAATGGTAAGAATAAGTAATTAATAAATTGCTAAACATTCCTTGATACTAATTTCTTATTAAATAAATTATATAAAGGTTTAGCGGCATTTCCTTCGGCAGATCGTTTATCTCCATTAGATACATTCCTTGATCTTCTTACAGCTAAAGGTATGAATTTGAAATTTAATAAATCTTACAGCTTGTTTTAATCATAAACTAACTTTATTTTATAGCTAGTCTAGCTGAATTAGATTTTGGCCTACTTATAGAAGCTACAGTAACATCTACAGAAGATTTTTTATAGGTAAATGTATTTCAATACCCTAGTTGTATTTGTAATCGAAAAAGTAGCGAATATAGTTATCCAGATATGCAAAGTGCCATTCAAAAACTATTTACTACTTATAAATACGTCATTTTTATTTTATTTTATAAATTTTCTTGTGTTCCTTTTTCTAAAGTTCTATATAATAAGTATTAAACAAAGTAGAATAAGTACATTTTACATATTCATGTAATTTAACATATTCACATTTTAAATCCAATTACTTAAGAATTAAATACACCGAAAAATAGGTTCTTACCGATGTTTTAAAATATTTTATATTTTACGATTATCTATAATGTTTATTGAACGCAGTTTATGAACTGGTTATTTTATGATATTACAAATTTAAATATAACTACATTCTTGTTTTTTTGTATATATTAACTTTTACTAGTTGAATACTTGTTACTACATTACCATACTTTTATATTAATGTTATTAATTAATTAATTAGAAGTTTATGTGTGATTTTATGTACTTATATCAATTCATCAATATGCATTATACATCACATTGTATGTTATATATATATATTTTATGTCATTAAATAATTTTTAAGTTATAGTACGAATAAGTTAAAAAAATTTTATAAAATGAATTGTAATCTTCTGTGTACCTTTTTTATGTGAAAAGTATTGTTAACAAAACTACATATCAAAAGATATGTACAAATATACAACAGTATTAATAATTTTTATGTAAAAGTGAATATAAATGTTTATAAAATGATCCACTGTTTTAATATGCATTACATTTGTGTAATATTTGTTACAAAATCTTATATTTAAAAAAAAGAAAAAATGTTATTTCGATGTTACGCGCTTTCATTTAAAATTATCTTTTATCTTTATCTTAATTGTTTTATGAAATGCTATTGAAAGATAATTATAAAGGCCATTTTCAATCAAAAATAAGCTTATCGGATTTTAAACTCGTTCACTGGCTGAATCTAAGCTCCAAAGGAAAAGACCAATGGCGTTTGTTTATCGCTAATACTACATAGCGTTGCAATCTTAAATGAAAAGCGGTCATTCTCCCCCCATTAAAATATTTCCCCCTCTCTCCCCACCTGTAAGTACTACTAGCAGAATAACATCGTCAGCGGTCAGCCATTGTCGTGAGATGTGAAGATTTTTTTCATCAGAAATCAAGATCAAAAGTTGAGCAATTATTGCACATTGAAATTAAAGCACATTGACGCTGAAATGCATACAATTCCGGAATTAGGTACAAGTGTACCAGCATTTCTTGCCAAACTTTGGAAATTGGTTGAAGATCCTGAAACTGACGACCTTATTTGTTGGTCACCCGTAAGTACTTTTATTTTGTTATTCGTTTATAATCCCTTCGTTTTCATATAAAGTATATGATAGAAGTTCCAATGAAGCGCATAATACTTTTTACCACGATGACAATTAATTATTCATAATTCTAATGTCGTATGAATAAACGAGTTAAACGTAAGTTAAACGTTGACCTCCACAGTATACATTTTTACGTACACAACCTATATTTCGCATGCATCCAACATCGCTATAATTTATTCCGTTTTTACTGGGACAATTATATATTGTATTATTTTAATAATCATGCTTTTTTTTTTATTGAATATCACAAATTTGATTTGAATAAATTGTATAAATCGTGAATGAGTAGTTTTTGCAACAACGATACATATTAATCGCAAAGTAATATTTAAATAAATACTTCTTATAAGATACTTGTAATTATCTTTTTAAAACTTATACATTTCTATAAATTATTTAACATGAACAATTTCTAGTAATGAAATGAATATTCAACTTTAAATTTCTTTATATTTTAAATATTTTATTTATATTAATGTTGTATTAAAATATCATTTATATGAAGATTGTTCTAGTTATTAAAGATACATGTTAAATTTTCATTGCTTTTTTGTCTTTGCTTTAATCTTTAATATACTATATGTTTCATAAAATAGTTTAAATAATACATTTTATATACATTACAATAAATGTTAATATTTGTGTGCAAATGCGGTATAATATATATGTTATATGATTATTTTACTTTTATGGTATCTATTATATGTTATAATATGCTTTAACCATAAAAAATGTTAATACCTTGTAAATTATTTAAAAGAAAGATTATTATATGTTAGTTATTTATTTTAGAATGGAAGAAGTTTCTTCATTAGAAATCAAGCACAATTTGCTAGAGAATTATTACCACATTATTACAAACACAATAACATGGCCAGCTTTGTCAGGCAATTAAATATGTGTAAGTAATAATATATAACATTTAATGTATGTATTAATTTAATATTACATATACTGGTATCGTATTGTTTATTAAATATGTACATATATTTTCAAGATGGTTTTCACAAAAAGGTATCTGTTGAACTTGGTGGTTTAAAATGTGATAGAGATGAAATGGAATTTGCACATCAGTTCTTTTGTAAAGGACATCCATATCTTGTAGAGCACATTAAAAGAAAAGTAAGTACTTTCATAACTATATGAAGTTTTTATAAATTAAAAATATTTATATATTTATCATAATTTTTTAGATTGCATCTAGTAAAGGACAAGATCCAGCACTTACACCCATTAAACCAGAATTAATGAATAAAATGCTTACTGAAGTGAGAAGTATGAGAGGTCGTCAAGAACATTTAGATTCAAGGCTTGGAGCCATGAAAAGGGAGAATGAAGCATTATGGAGAGAATTAGCAATGCTCAGACAAAAGCATCTGAAGCAACAGCAAATTGTTAATAAGCTTATACACTTTCTAGTTACTTTGGTACAGCCTTCAAGAAGTGGTGGTCTGTCTGTTAAAAGAAGATACCCATTAATGATCGACGATTCTAATCGTCAACGTAGTAAACAGCCGAAATTATCAAAGGTAATTATATATATTTTATTAAATATTCGTACTTAATTCTTTAAGGTACATTCATATATATTAGATAAATTACACTTTTATTTTCAGTCACAAGCATCTCCTGCAGGGCCTGTAATTCACGAGCTTGATGCATCAGAACCAGATTTGGAATCAGCATACATTGTTGCAGAGTATGTAGTATGCTCCATCATAAATTTAATTATTTTTATTGACATAAAATAATTATCTTTCTTCATGTTTAGAATGTTAGAAGGACATCCAAATCCAGCTATTGAAAGCCCAGAACATAATAACACATCAATAATAGAAGATAACAATATGGAAACAGTTCATTTAATTGATGATTCTGTTCAATTACAAGATGATATGCAACTTGTTAATCCACAAGAAATTGACACTAAGAAAAAACGTGGATGTAAGGGTAAAAAGAAGTAAGTTAAATAAATTATCATATTATTCTAATCATGAATTTGCCCATTGACATAAGTGACGTATACGTCATGTACAATCTTTCAATTTTGGAATTAGAAGATGGAATTTTGCATGATAAACACAAGTAAATATCAATATTTGTAATCTTATAAAGAAGTAATTTCACGTTTCCATTTTGCTTCTTTTTTTTATTGAGTCTAGGAAAATAATGAAAAAGACAATTATAACATTTTTTACACATTCCAATTATTCTCCATGCATGGAATGTTTTAAATAATTAACTTTGTGAAATTAAAATTTATATTCTATTTGCTTCAATGAAAAACACAGGGGCATAGATTATAATCTTTTCAAACATATACTACAATAACTTCATTAATGACATTTAATACTAAAATTAAATTGCACGTGTATATATCACAATTTAATTATAGCCATTTAAAACATTGATCAGGGAAATTTGATAAATGATTTCTTTTTCATAGTTCATAAGATTAATTCGTTTTTTATTATTATTCATATCATTGCAATTTAAATATTGCCAGGAGGAAAAACAAGGTGCCGGTCAAAATTTTGATCCCATCAACGGAGAATGGAGAAGAACCGAGGTTAACATTTTTCTCTTGTCGTCATTTGGTGTTGGTGTTCATACTTCTCTAGAAATTATTTTTAAACAGTATCGCAATTTTGCTTACTTTCATTTTTTTGCATGAACGTTCGGCAATATTGCGATAATATTCTTTTTTGAAAGCGTTTCTTATTCAAATAGTTGGTACTAAAAGGACTTTTCCTTAGTCTGCCAGTCTTTCAACTATCAGTAGTTGCTTTTTTTTTCAAACTTTATGTTAAATATAATTTCAAAGAATTAAAACAGATTTAAAGAAAGTTAAAGTCTCGAAAATATTGATTTGGTAGCTTGTTACTTTTATAAGAGAAGTCTTGTTAATCCTTGGTTGAATTACTTGTATTTAATTCCAATATTGTTTACCATACAGTACTGTCATTAGCAACATCATTTCATATTAATATTAGTCTTTTTTTTTTATTTATGTATTACTTATGCCTCTGAGTATATTTGTTGGTATATTAATTGTTGTAGTTAATTTTATGATAAACCTTAATTTATTTTATTATATAAAATACATTGTGAAATTCATTTTTCATCTTTGTCATCCAAATATAGGCATATATACATATATATATATATATATATACATGTGCATGAAAGATTATTTTAATCTATATAAAGTATTTACATTCTCACAGCCTACATAGAATTTGCAAAATATGTCTCAAAATATGTATTGTTAATACATCTTGAAATTTATTCCATGCATGATTGTTCTTTTAAAATTTATATATATAATACTTCGTTTATACTTGTATTTGGTACGTATGATAAATATAATTCTATATGATCTTCAGATCATGCAAGTAGTTTTTATTAAAATCAATTTTTTAATATTATAAGTGGTTTTTGAAAAAAAATCAAACTAAATTGACCATATTTATATTTTAAATCACAGAAATGATTTATATGGTGAAATATAAAGGAATGAGTATATTTAAAATACTTTTCCAAATTTTTTATATTATCAAAATTAAGCAATATTAATTTTTCTTAGAAAGTAACAATCATTCTTTAACTTTCTTGTTCATATATATTTCACATATATGCACCACTTTACTATACTAGTCTGTTTTCCTCTTTGTTATGTAGATTTCTTTACAAAAATTTATATTACTATGTATTAAAAACTGACTAATATTATATTAGAAGCATGTTCTTGTATAATGCTTTAAATTCATCTGTGTATGCTCTTGCAATACTTCCATCAATCAGAAATGTAGTCAAGAATGTGTTTAAAAGCAGATTATGGCACAGCAACGATTCTAAAAACTCAAGAAAACGAAGATTGGCAACTGCTTATCTCACTTTTTTAGGGAAGAAACACATGTGCTTGAAATGCCATTAGAGGGTTCGCCAGTGACGATCGCTTTGCTGGAAAATAAACCAGTTTCGAAGCCAATACCTGTAGCGACTGTGCGTAGCTCAAAACTTGCAGCAATGGCTGCTAATATGAATAAAACTACCGATACAGAACAGGAGCTCGATTTGGATACAACAGACATGGAGGAAGATGTTCAAGATAATGATCCAACTTTGGTGAAACTTGAAGACATTTTGATAGTACCGGAAATCATTAACGAAGATGTTGAGAATAATGAGAACACTGAATTTAGTGAGAATAATGGAAATTCTGAAACAAGCGAAAATGATATTGCGTTTGATCAATTTAAGAAAGTAGACGCTAACACAGAACAGAATAACAGAAGAGATTCTTACACAAATGGCGCAGAAAAACGTTCGGAGCAGGATAAAATCAACTGCAATGGAGAAGGCACAAGCAATACAAAACATTTATCTTTGAGTTGCATCATTCCCTCTGGCATGTCTGATGCTACTTACAGGTTAGGATCAATGTAAGTTCAACACAGATCATGGGTAAAAAATGTTGAATGCAGCACATTCCATTTATTTATAATGGAAATTCTTAATCAGAAGACAGAGGTGGGAACCAACCAATTTATCTCTATTTGCATTACAATCTGAGAGGTTTCAAATAATAACACTTCACTAATAATAACATATGACTTTTTATTAGATTTCTAAAAGGTTGCCTTTGATCTAGGGATTTCACAATATTCCATAGAACCTGAAGAGTAAAGGATTCCTTGGTATCATCTTTTTCATATTTTCCAAATTATTACAATTTTTTTTTTATTAATTTTTACATGTTTATTTAATTTCAAAAGCAGCAAAAATCTAGTGTTCAGCTTCTCTTAATCTTAATAGAGCTTTATTCCGAATAGAACAAAATTTTATTAATATAGATTTAGATATTAAATTATGTTTGTATTAATTGGATCTATATTTGTATAATTTATTTTATTCAAAATAATTTCTCTCTTTAATCAAAGAAGTTGTAAGTTAGATTTTTGAGATGTGATATATAAAATTATTTTTACCTTATATATACATATATATTAAATATATTTGGTAATTGTAGTGTTATAATTATTAGATCCTTGGTTATGCAGTTTATCATATGATACATTTGTTGTTCTATTATTTGTCTTGTTCCCTGGTTTTCAAAGGTCAATTTGGTTTGAATATTTCTCAATATAGACTACTGCATTGTTTAAAATTATTGATACAAAACGTTTTTAAAATCGAACACTGCAATATTGCCAATGTTTTATTAATATTGGATAAGACTAAAAAAAAGTATGCAACCAATCTCTTTCTTGTGAATTTCTTTATTACTTGATTGCACAAGCAGTAGTCATAAAACAATTACTAACTTTTATTCTGCTTCAAATAGTTATTGTTTTATTTTATTATTACAGTCATTATTAGTATTAACATAATGAAATATTTAATTTAATAAAGAAAGGATAAAGTATATTAATCTGCTTGTGGAGTCATTCAAACAAATAGAAAGATTGTACGTTTCAGGGTGAATATTGAAAGGATTTACATCGCTTTTGCTTTTTGGTCCATAAAGTGTGGATAAATTTCAGTGTTTTTTTACATTTTGATCTACTTTGAATAATTCTGTATAGGGAGGAAATGGATAATCATCTTGAATCAATGCAAACAGAATTGGACAATCTCCGTGATATTCTACGAGGCGAGGGTTATAGCATCGACGCAAATACACTCTTGGGTGTAAGTGTTAAAGAATTTATGAAAAGTTTTCTGTTTATTAATTAATGTATGTTTTCAGTTATTTGGAGCAGATGATCCAATGTCGTTTGGTATGCCAGTTAATCCAGAATTAAATCCACATTCTGAAAAAGAAGAGGATGATCACACTAATGGTAAAATTTGTATATTGCGATTCATAATACTTTAAATATTGTTGAAAATATAACTGTATGTATATTTTAATTTGTTTGTAGTTACAGAAAACATTAATGGAACAGGTGGTGGTGAACTTATGGCATACAATCCTACTCCAAACTTGTTAGATTTTGACGATGACATTTTTTTGAATGCCGCATCTCCTGTAACGAGCACAGCGGGTGATACAGCTACAACCAGTCTTTATAACTCGGATCCCCTCGATTTGGAGGATAACAAAGTTTCACTCCTCAATTCATTAACGAATGATGTAAATACTTCATCGTAAAGTCTCATTCCTATGGTAAGTCCTATATTGATCTTTAATACATTTAATAAGCAATCATTTTGTTTAAAAATAAAAGTAAAGAAATATTTTTCATTCTTGTGTTACAGAAAATAATTATCCATACATTAACAATATGCAATTTTTTGGTATATATCAATTTTAAGTTATTAGTGATTTTAAGTTCTATTAAAAAAATTAGTGTTTATCGGGTAGTTGGTCACTTAACGCATCTTTGTTGAAACAAATTACGATTTTTTACGTCGAGATTGTCCTCCGAGGTTCAACCTCTTTCAAAAAAAAAAAATTGTCTTAGGATAGATTTTTTTGCAGGTTCAGATCACTGTTGCGTCCAATGCTTTGGTTTCAGTATGTTTTATTCTCGATGGATCATCACGAGCATGCTCTCTCTTTCTCTCTCTCTCTCTCTGTCGCTCTCGGTGTATTTTGATGACCAAATAAGCAACGAGCTTGTAATGTACAGACAAAAGTACTTATACCTGAGGAGAATGCGGTCTCGATATATGCGATCAATGATTCCATCGGTTTATGGAGGACAATAAATGACTAAAAACTACTGGAGCGCATAAAATCCTCTGGATTTGCTGCTATATATATATAGATAGATATATATAGAAAGATGATAAAGTTTGTTTGTTACAGTAACTTTTTTTATGAATTAACTTTAATGTTATGTCTATTCATAGTACATATTATTACACTATCGGTAAAAATGTGAGAGTGAAATTATTCATTTACCGATGTATTTTATAACTGTAAATATTTTTTTCGTTTTTTTATGTATATAATTCCATCGAATATAATTTTTTTTATTACAAAGATGCGCAAGCACGTTATAGTGACTAACGTTTCTTGTAGATTGTACAATGCAAACTTAAAGTTCCTGTGTAACTTATGTCAAAAAAGTATCGTAATATTTATTGCGCATTTTTTTTAACAACTTGAACAGAAACCGTAGAAATGCAGCAAAGTAAAACTTATTAAATGCATCAATTAGGTTTCTGTATATTTTTGTCATTTGTAATTTTTAGCGATCTTATTATTTATGGGAAACTGAGTGTCGTTTCGCACGAAAATTCATCTACGTAAATAATAAAAAAAAAAGTATATACGAAATTCGTATTTTTTGTACTGAATTCTTTCAACAAGAAAGGGCAGTTATATGTATACACATTGCTCTTGTAGATCAAGGTATACTGTAAGGGAAAGAAAAAAACGCCACGAGCGAATTTTATACTTTTATAATAAAAGCTCTCAACGTTAACATGCTTAAAATATTAATTAATATTTATTTGTAGACGTCGATTCATTGTACATAAAACAATATTTATTTTTTCTTATGTTCGTAAATACACGCTTAGGTTGCGATGATATTGTAATACTTATGATGAATTTGTTGCATCAAACCCTTTATGATTATATTAAAATATAAACATATTATCGTTTTAATCTTTTTGAATTATAAAAAAAACATGTGTACTTATTATAATACACAATATAGTCTACTTTATTTTCTATATTAGAAAATTACATGCTTGAAACAATTTGTTTTTTATACAGGTCATAAGTATTATTTGTGATTATAATATTCCTTTGTTTTAAAAGCACATGGTAAAACTGATTATATTTAATTAAATACTTCTAAAATAAATATGTGAATGCTTTTTCAATTCTTTTTTGCATTACTATTTACCTAAATTTGCAGTGATTGTACATATGTTGATACATACTCTTACATCTTAAAATTTATTTGATCTACAAGTTATAATTCATAAATTATTGCTGATTACCAAAAAATACGGATCTTTTCTTTTTTTATGTTATGTTTATTTCAAATGTATCACTGAAACACTATAATTTGTTATTTACGATTTTTGTTAAAAAATTTCTTCGAATTTGAAAGCAAATTTTTATACTAACAAAACTAGTTCCATATGTTTTCAGCTAATTATTCTGCAGCAATTGGATACTTCGTTATTTTATCTATTTAGCTTAACAAAAAAAATATTCTTTATCAGGCTAAAATTAACCAAAAGCAAAACACAAATTATCTATACCTATTAAAAAGTGAAATCTGTAGGAAAAATCTGTGGACGGATCGTTGATATTTCAATTACACTTAAGTAAAGGTATTATCCGATATTGTACAGTTCATCAATATTTCCATGACGTATTTTATACATGTAACGAAATTGTATTTTATACATATTTATTAGCAGTATTTAATCTTAAAATTCCTTTTTTGTTCTTCCAAGCATGCTGAAGAATATTTTTAATTAAAAAAAAATTTTTTTTGAATAAAATAAAGAAGATTGAAGAAATTCGTCCACTAACTAAGGCTACTACTAGTATTTATAGACTTCCACTTTTTCTATTCATAAATATATATAATTATTTTTTTATTTTAGCCTTGGAGGAAAGACTGCTGGATTTTTAATTACCTTATTGGTAATATCTTCGTTTTAATTAACGAATGCGATACTACTGTGAGCGCTATAACAAGTTTAGTATATGGAGGGAACGATAGAAAGAATTAAAGAGATGTACACAGTGATTCGTGCTTAAAATTCCTTGAAGATGAAAGTAAACAACGTAAAGAACCAAACGATATAAATCTAGGGATTGGAAGGAACACTTTATCTTCACGTCGATGATAATAAAAACTATGCGAATGAAAAAAGCGTATTCCTCGAAATGTTGTTAAAAAAAATACGTAGCGTTTAAAAAATGAGAATGCACGCGTCATATATGCATTAAGAAAGGACTACAATTTCCATTTTCACCAATTTGTATATAATCACGCAGGATTGTTGCATCGATAAAGAGATGTAGTAGGATGTTTTCTAAAAATATCCATCACCTAAAGAGTAACAATTTTTTTACATAGTGTGTGTGTACACAGTATTAGAATATAAATTAATTAATTTTACGTGGAGCAAAGTGTATGCCAGAACATACACAAATATATGTATATATAAATCTATATATATATATATATGCAAAAAATGAAAGCGTGTTAAAGGTATAAAATTTATTTAATAATGCCATCATATTTTTCCGTAACTGTTCTTTCAATACGGTACAAAATTTAAATGAAGGTAAAACATGATAACACAATCTAAGATTTCAGTGTCCAAATACTACAGTACTGTCGCTGCCCTTATGTTGTATTACACTTATATTTAATTTTTTTTAAGTATTTCAAGTTTCATCTTCAGCATATCAAAAACTGTGAATTTAATAACATTAATCAGAATATATCCTTAATAAATTTTTCAAGTAAATTAAAAAATGAAAGGGAATAATAGTATAAAGTAGATATTCAGAGTATTTGTATAATCAGAATACTTAATTAAACGATTAATTTATATTTTTACTGTATAAAGAAACACCATTTTTTTATTTGCAATTTAAAATAAAAATTATGTTTGTTCAGTTATTTTTATGCAGTAGGTAGTTTAAACATAAATATCAACTATGAGCTTTTGCAAAACACTGAAATCTTAGTATTAACTCTTTAAAAGAAGAATTGATAATTTGAGTTTGTGTATATCAGAAAATAATATAAACAAAATAGTATACTATAATTTTTTTTGCCAGATTAACATATTATTTTAATTTAGTAATAAGTAGAATTTTTTATATTCATTTGCCAAGATAAACAGTTTGTATTGCATTACAAATTTATAAAGAAGTTAGCGTATGTTATATAATTCCATGTACAGTGAAGTGTCAACCATACATTTATGTTTCTTACTTTTCCTTTTCATATCTTGAAAAGAATTTCTACATATTTTATAATCTCTCAGATTTAACACACATTTACATTATTAATCTATGTGTTAACATCAGAATTTTCTTTTCTTTTTTTCTAACTATTAAATGTTTTAATTAATTTACAATGTAATATGTTAAAAACTTTAGCAATCTTTTTGTTCTGTATACTTATCAAAGAAAATTACCATTGATCTTCTATGAGTTATTTTTTTAATTTCTCTTTTTATTAATATGAAAGATCGACTATTTTGAATAATTAAATCAGAATATAACTATTTGTGATTTGATTATTATATACATGCACTTTAGAAATTGCATCAACTAATAATTATTCATTTAATTATGGAAAAATTAACTACAGGTCAGAGTGTAAAAAATCAAAAGAATGTATCTTGTACAAAAGTATAGTTGATACTACACTGTTTGTAGGTATCCAATTTTGTACAAAAGGGTAGTATCGAGTTCATCACAAGTGACGATTTCTCGTTTACTAGGTATGAATTGCGTGTTTTGCTATTAATTATAAAATATTAATTACAATAGGATTAAAGGATAAATTAAAACGTATCTAAATATCAAAAGAAAAATATTAAGAAAAAAAAGTTCACAATTTTTATTCATTTACATCTATGTTGTAAATTCAATACCCATACTCTTATTTTTAATATATCACAAATGGAAATTGACTTTATTCTGCTGCCTATAACTAACGTCACCACGTGATTGATATATACATTTAAAAAACCAACAATCAATTAAAAACATGATAATATCATTGAAAGCTACAATTTTCGTCGAAATTACCTTATTCAACATAGATTAACTATTAACTATCATTAAAAATAATGTTAAATTTGTTTGTTTTTAAATAAAATTTAGATCATTGTTTATATAATCTTATTATATATCCTGGCTGAATCAATCTATCTTTATATAAATATGTTGTACAAATGGTACAGTACTGTACAACATTTGCGAAACTTAGAACAAATATTATGCTGTTTAAAAGAATATGAAAATCTCAGATGGATATATTATCAAAGTATATATTGCAACATGTTTGAATAGTAATATTCTGAACAATGTGTTGAAAAGAGCAATTACCTGTACTTGAACAATATTTTTTATATTACAATATCAATATAATCTAGATAGTAAGCTTTCATGAAACATCCTATATTATGTATGAAAAGATTTATTACATTATATTTATGTTTATCATTTTTTTAATGGCAGCGTTTTGACAAAAATACTTCAATTTAAATTCTAGTACAATAGTCACTAATATTGTTTTGTACTATATGTGTGAAGTTAATCTGTATAGATAGATTTATTTGGAAATACTTTCACTATTTCTAATTACAACTATTTCTAATAATATCTATTCAAAGGAAATCTTTATTAAATTTCTTGATTTAATGTACAAAGATTCTTAAGTTCATAATTTTGATTTTTGACAATTACTGAAGTATGAATATCAGGAAAGCAATGAATCCTAAAAATACATATAAAATTTTGTACATAATTATTATTTTTATCATTTCTGTAATAATTACTGTAATGTCAGTTACATTGTACTGTAAAGCAGAATAAAATTCATTATAAAATCGTAAATAAACTTGTGATAGATTAAGTAATAGTATTGATTACTATTTAAATATTTAAAAATTAATGAAAAATTGTGTTCTTCACATTACATTTTGGTTGCTTTATTGCACGTAATTAAAACTGCATTATTACACAATATTTTATAAATATGCACATTTGATTATTTTATACTTTATATTAAATGGTACTTAATAAATTTTTTGTGATATATTCAAATTGTTTAGTATCTTAAACTTTAATACAGGTTCCTCCAAAAAGGCATTGCAATCATTGTCAAATATTCAATATAATAGATATTTAAATTATACCGAATTAAAAATTTCTACACAAATTTCTTTAAATATTTGAAAATTTTTGTACATGTAATTTGCTTTCAAATTAATTAATAAGATTTTCCTATCACATAATATATTTATAATCAACTTCTAAAATAATACTTCAATTTTCCCTTACCCTGTCCTTAAAATGCGAAAGAAAATATTGAAGCCGTCTCTATGGTAAAGATGGTAATGATGGTAAAGGTGGAGCAGGTGGTGGTATTATATCATTTTCTGCAGAAACATCATTTTTATGCCAATCAACATACAAATGTGTCAAGCTTTCAAGACATGCTGCTGTCATTTCCCGACAATAACGTGTATCTAGGTAATGCAAATTTTTGCAATATAGTTTAATAGAATTAAGGGATTGATCCGTGAGTTGTGAACATCCCTATGAAAAACGAAAAATCAGCGTATATTTTAAAAATATTTATTTGTTTTTCATTATCAAACTACCTGTATGAGAAGTCGCTTCAATCTATGCAATCTTTGTGCGAGATATGATATACCAATATCCGATATTTTATAACAACGGTTTAAATTTAAGTATTCGATTGCTGGATTATTTCTTGATAAATAATCCAAACCAACGTGTGTAACCTGTAATAAAAAATAATTTGAATTAGATGCAAAAATATTTGTAATGTATGTATTAAATATCAATACTTACTTGACACTGACTTAAGTTTAAGGTTCTTAATTCTGGGAAAGCGAATGCGTGTTTTAAACTGATATCGGTAATATTATTACATCCGAAAAGATCAAGTTCTTGGAGGCATTTAAGCCTAATCAAAGAGAATCCGAAAAAAGGTTTATAAGGCCCAGATACAATTTCACAAAGCTGCATAATCTCTCGCTTTCGATTAGCGTCACGTACTATTTCTTCTTCAGCCCTTGAGCGTAAACTGATTCTTAGCCTGGATTCTGTAAATTCTGGTTTATGTACAACTTGTATTTTTTCGCCATACTCATTGTTACCAGTATCCATACCCGTTAAGCCAATATCACTGATATCACAACTGCTAATTTTTAATGTTTGCAAATGTACAAGCTCCTTGAATATCATCTATAAAAGATAAACTTACTTTTATATTCATGAGCATCATCACTGGTATAAAAATTTATGATTTACAGCAACTCTCTTAAGTTTTAGCAATTCCTGAAAGTTCAGGAAAATAATCAGCATAAAATCTATCAAGAAATCAACTATCATTCCTTATAATATCATATTTTTTTATATAAATAAATACCTTTTTATAAACTACCTATGACATTGAATTAAAAAATAATTACAATAAAACAATTTCTACATACCTGTATTGTTTTGTCAGTAACACCAGTAGAACAGTAGCTAAGTTCAAGTTGCCTTAAATTAGGAAAAGCCTTAGATATGCATTCAACTGATTCTTCATGAAGATGCAATGCACTTACTGACAATATTAGCATGTTTTCTTTTCTTATTATTTCTTCTATAATATGATTCTTTTCTGAAGAAACAAAATTTATGTTTTCAGAATCAATATCTTGTTGCATGTTATCATCATTTATATTACAATCAGAACAAAGACCACGGGTAATAGAATCACTAGTAAGTTGTTCATTTCCCGAAATGTCAAGTTCTTTTAAATTTTTTAGTAACTGAATATACATTATACCCGTATCAGTTACTGCACGACATCGTTTTAATCTAAGTGTTTCTAATCTTGTCAAATTTTTACAAATATAGAGTAAACTGACATCTGTAATACGCACACAAAAGCTAATATCAAGGACCTTTAAACAAGTTTGATACTGTATCAATCCTTTAATCCCTTCCATAGTTAACTGATAGCAGCTTCGTAACAACAAAGATTCTAGTTTCAAATCTGGCAAAGCTGATAGAGTAGCTAAAGCAGTTCCATCAATTAATGTATAACCAAAATTTAAATGTTTCAATTTATGTGCTTGTTGCCTAAGGTACTGTAATGTGTTCAAAAAAGTCAGTACTGATTTTGAAGCATCTGATAAAGTGATATTTTGAGGATAAAATTTTTTATATAATCCACAATGAAATGATATTTGACAACCCATGAGACTCAAAGACTCCAAGTTTTGACAAATGGCAACTAATCTATTAAATAGAGCATCACTCAGGAAACGGTTATCACCAAGGCTAAGTTCTTGGACATTTTTTAATGTTTCTGAAAGTTCTTTTATATCATTCTCATCTTCTAAAAGTCTGCCAGACATTAGGCATTCTCTACAAGCATTAATGCATAATATCTTCAAAGATTTGCAGCACTTAAGAATTTCAACAAGTGTTTTTTCACTTAGATCACAACAAAACTGGAAATTAATATATAGAATTAAAAAAAAATTCTTTCTTTAATAAAATAATATTGTGTATTTAATTGAAGTAAATTTACCAATACTAGACTTTTCATATAAGGTCCATATTGATCCCAAATTGGCATATTCCGTTTTAACTCTACTTCTCTAAAAACAAAGTGATAAAATGGTCTTGTAGAATGTTGTAAGATTTCTATAACTTCATTTAAATTATCTGTACGTGGTCGACCAAGAACCAATTTTTCTTGATCTAGAAACTTCATAGCAAGAGATGCTTCATGCCATATTTGATTAACTAGTCCTGCTGACATTCTATCAGATGTAGACAGATATGATAATATGTGTATAATGACCTAAAATTAAAATAAATTTACTAATAAATTTAGATTTCCAAAGTAAACACAGAATATGATGTAACTTGAAATTATCCTTCAAGAAATAAAAAGTACTTTGTCCCATAAATGTTATCATAAAAATAAAAAAAAAATATGAAAATGTTAAAATAAATTATTTAATCTATTTGTAAATTATTAATAGCAGTGTTTGTAAGTAAATATTTTCAATTAGGTTATCAACGAATTGTTTATTTTGCATAATATTTATGGTACAAAGAAAAAATGTAAATCACGAAATAACTTAAGTAAAAATATAAAACTTCAATATTTAAATATAAATAATAATAAGAGACTTACATCTATAGGCAATTGAAAATTATCCGTTTCTGATATATTAATTATACGAGTTTTGTTGTCAGACATTATCGCCATAACAAAAACACAATAAAATAATGTATCAAATTGTCACGTTTTAATAAATATACACCTAACCGGAAATCCAGATTTTAATTTGAGATTTTATATTAAATATTCGTACAACAATCAAATCATTGCTCAGGTGTGTTACAGCTGTTTCTACGATAGTCACGTGCTTTTCGCGCATACTAAAATCATGCCATAAATATAACAGTTCTGATTTGCCGTATAACAGATAATACTTATTACAAAACGTTTTTCATTATTAATTTTACTTTGATGCTATTAATTATCATACTGTTTACTTTTACATACAATCCTCGAATTTAGGTATTGTACAAATATACAATAGTTTTCTATTTATTTTCATAAAAATATATATGTTAATAATCCGTAATATAATATTTAACAAAGATTGCATATTTCATATTTATATATTCACTAATTTGTGTTAATTAATACACAATTTTTAATCACGTAACGTATTAATAGAGAACATTTCGTTGCCGACATATGTATCTACTGATCAGCTGATCTGTCAAAACAACAAATCAGCTGGATGGAGTTAATGGCATATGTACCCCATTTTTCAGAAGCGCCAGATGTGGAGGTAAATTGAATGTTTTGAAATTTCTAAATATTTATAATACTATAAACATTACAACGTTTAAATCTGATCATTTATTAATATATATAATATAACAAAAGACATCTATTTCTTATATTATGTAGCGTATTCCGGTTATCCAACATGTGTGCGAACAACCACAAGAAGAAGATGAAATAATGAATATTAGGAAAGGAGACACGATTTTGGATAAATTGAGTCGTTGGTTTTTAAAGCAACGTACTTTATCTAGAAAGCACCCTTTGACTCGCTGGTGTCTTAAAAGTACAACTGCAATGAATTATGAAATTTTAAGACACCTTAAATCACACCGTTATATGATACATCCATTTAGCTCGTTCAGGTTAACTTTAGATTCTGCCTTTTTATAATTTTTTAAATTAAAGCACAATTTTAATTTTCGTAGGATCATTTGGGAATCATTAATGACTGTGTTTACAATAGTAGCCCTTCTAGTCACTCCAGTATCTATCACGTTTTATTTCGAGAAACATAAGAACTGGCATATGATCAACGACACAATGAATATAGTGTTTTTATGTGATATTATCGTATGGTTTTTCACCGGTTACTATGATTATGGGACGAAAGTTACTGTTCTTGATCCTATAATAGTAGCAAGGTACCTTAATTTCTCAATAATAATAATTGTCGGTACCATATATTATTAATGGTAATCGATGTTTTTATCTTTTAAACAGGAAATACTTACAGAGTTATTTTCTAATAGATATTTTGACTGTATTACCCATAGGAATTATCGATTATATTATACCTAACTCGATGTGGTACTGCACGACTTTAAATATGATGAAAATATTAAGAGTTCGCAATATTATTGTTTATTCTCGCAGACTTCACGATGTTAGTTCTTTCCATTAATAATTGCGATAAGAAAATAATGTACTAATATGATTTTGTAATTTTAGGTATACAGAATGAGTTTTCAGTCGTACAAAATTCTAGAAACATGCATGGTTATTATAATATGCGTGCATTGGGCTGCCTGTTTGGAATATTACGTTCCCATGTCTGTAAAAATATTAAACACCTTAAGTAATGAGTCAGTATTTTCAGTTCGTTCAATTTTATTTCTACAATAACAAATTTGGAACTTTATATTCAGGTCTTGGATCAAATCGTCATACTTTCAAAGCAAGGAAACGAAAATAAAGAAATACCTGGTGTGCTTGCATCGTGCGATTGTTGCTTTTGCACGATCTGCTCATTATTTAGACATGAAGACACAAGAAGACATTATACTAAATTTAATTTTAACGGTTATAGGATTCCTCGGTGTTATATTTTTATTAAGTAGCGTTTATCAACATTACCCATACTATTCTTAAACAAAAGAATGATAATAATTTCTTTTATAGCACAATTTTCTCAGCTGATAACAACGTTTCATATAACTATCAAGCGCCACCTGAAGGTAATACAGCAATTACAGGAATACATGCGATATAAGGAGCTTCCGTATGCTTTACAACGCCGCTTATTAACGTTCTATCACTATCGCAACAAAAAGAGTTTCGAGAGGAACAAGAAAATCATAGAAGAAGTTTCACCATATTTGCGAGAGGTTCGTTCAATCTTAATAATTTTTACAATAAAAATATAAAATTATTTAAATCACTAGCTTTTTTAACGTCTTATATGAAAAATTGGAATGTAATCAGGTATTTAACAAAAAGGATTTACCTTCTAGGAGCTCATTTTGCATAATTATTTGAGGTTTGTTAATAGCGTGGAATTATTTAAACATTTACCTGAAACAGTAATAGTACAGTTAACAAGTTCATTACGCTCCGAGATCTATATGTCAGGCGATGAGATCGTTAAAGCTGGCACTCAAGGTGAAGCTCTGTATTTCATTTCTTGCGGTACCGTAGCTGTTTACACTGCTGTGGGAAAAGAAGTAATGTTAATGTTAACGTAGCTTTCTCGGCTAATGTACGTTCCTTTCTCATATTTTCTATCTTGTAAACAAAACGTAAAGGTTTGTCACTTAGAAGACGGAAGTTATTTCGGAGAGATCGCCTTAGTGATGGACAGCGAGCATAGAATAGCAACTGTAATTGCGGTGGAAACTTGTGAGATCATTGTGCTACATCGCGACAATTTCCGAAGATTCATATCACCATATCCTGATCTCTTGAATCGTTTACAAAATGTTGCTCTTGAACATTTACATAAAAGTTTACTTTTAGATTCAGCGCAGGATTTAGGAATCTCTACCTCACCACAATATATTAATATAAGTAGCATAAAGAGCAAAAGATTATAAAATTGTTAATAATCGAGGAAACTTCGTCTACTTCAATGTGACTAGAACTTAAAAGTTAAGTACTTTTTCAATGATCCAAATTACAATTAAAATTTAAATATGGGTTTTAATTCGTTACATTTCCCTTTTTGCACGATATTAAGATGGTCATTTTTTAACAGATTAAAATATGACATTCAATTCATCTTAATTTACCTTATACAATCTAACAGCGATATATTCTCCTTCTGTATGGGTTCCTATAGGACTGTTGATAAACTGACATAAGTCTCCAATGTTCTGGAAAGTCAATATTCCTGCATCCGTTAGTAATACTAAAAGGAGGAGTCAAAGTGTCAATGCAAAAGGATTTTCTAGCAAAAGGTGTCTTTGGTCTCGGTATAGTCGATTTACTTCCATCTCTTTGACCATTTATAGTCTTTTCGGTGCCTAATGCCAATCCAACAGCTGATCTAATCAATCTAGGATCATCTTTAGTATTCTTCGTTTCGCAGGCTACACATTTCCTGAAAGATCTTCTTGATTGTTCTTGACCTTGATTTTTACTTGAAATGTCCACTCCGTTTAACTTATTGCAGGGACAATCACGAGACTTCATATTTTTGTTGTCATTTTTTTTATTTTCATTTCCTGAATAATTTAAATCTTCTTGTGATTTACATTTCTGATTTCGCTGGGAAAGGGACTCGTTCTTATTTTTTGCAGTTTCGGAACAAACGGAAGCTCTAGAGTTAGAATTATGTTGAACAAGAGTAAATATAGCTGGCGCAAGTCCACCTTCTGTGCCATCGATATGCGTAGGTCTAGGTGGTTCATAAACTGGATTGATAGGGGTTTCCCAACAAATGGCTAGATCTATCTTCGTTTTGGGCGCCTTGCAACCTAAAACTGGTCCATAACGCTTATTTAGTTTCATAGAATGACCTTCAACTTCTTGCTTGCAGCACTTCTCCGATAGATGTTCATTAGGAATCTCTCCTGGTTTTACATTCTTGAAAACACAGTCTGCAACTTTATCCGGAAGTGGTTGGTGCATCAAATTCTCCGCGTGAAGCTTCTTTGCTGTTGCAAAATGATCGTAACAAGATAATCGATTCTCTGGTAGTGGTTCTACGAGACTTTCCTTGACATCCCTTTTTCTGGAACAGTCTGGTATATGCTTGTTCAAGGAAGATATTCTTAAATTTCCCGAAATATATCGTGGCTGACAGCATTCGTGTGACTCGTTGCTTCCTGGAGGAACTAATTTTCCTGGACAGTGAACGCAACACTTTTGAGTCTTCATATTTTTTGGTTTTCATTTCCTTGTTCTTCTTTTGATAAATTGAATAAAAGCTTATAAATAGTACTCAAGTAAAAGTCAATCTTTTAACATGAAACTAAATTCAGATAAATTACTTAAGCAACAATTGTTAACAAAAGAATTTACAGATTTATTTAGATGTTGGGAAATTCATTACAAAGAGTACATCTACTAGTGCTTAACTTAGATTAGCAACTGTAGGAATGCTACTTCCTACCTTAAAATTAACGAGGACATTTGTTTACTTGACAACGGGGCAGCTCGATAACCACGGTGCTCTACATAGTTATACATCGAGTCTTGGCCCAGATAATTTTAGAATTTATAGAATATCATGAAAATGAATCTTTAAATCAAAGACGATTTAAAGGACATTTTACGGTAAACATTCAATTGTATTATCTAATTACAATCTTTAATTATAAAACTATTTAGCTATTTTAAGTTTAGAATGTCTGAATCTAGCTGTATTATTTCTTAGAAATACAAAGATCGTATACAGAGATTACTTTACATGGTGAAGTATTATAATACTACTCAAATAGGCGCACGTTAGATGTATTCACGCGATCAGAGAACTTCCTGATGCAGTCTGCAATTCTTCGTATCGTTACACAATATAATCATGAACGTGCATGTACTAACAGATTCGTTATGGTCGAGTCGGGAATCACCAATGACGACGGGGAAGTACAGTGAATGTGCTTTATACTTTCCTCTACGCGGTATTACGGATTTGGAACGTTCTTTTCTGAGTACTTGCATTGAATATCGTATTTTTCGAGTGAAGTTAATGAACGTACAAATTCAAGAATTTAGTTTTACACCCATCTTTTATATAGAATATTTATCCGTGCATTATTAACTTGAAACAGTTTATGTTAATACCTAAACAAAAAAGACTGTCCGTATCCTGCTTGCAAATTATGTATAGTGTCGTGTTCCGCTTATTCTGTAGACAAGATTTACATATTATTTATAGCTGCATATTGATGATCACGCAAGTTCCCATTGGAGCAATGCCATTCCCCTTCTCCTGCGGGTGCCTTGACATAAAGCACGAAGAGCGCGTTTTTAAATGAACTCGAGAAAACACGTGGCAGTAGCACGCAACACGTAAAGCTTAAAGCACTGCTTTCTCCTCCACCAACGTTAAATTATGTTCGATAGAGAACCTGATTAAAGAAAAATATTCGGTTAAAAAACAAATTGTGAACGACAGATTGTAAAATTGTGTTAAGTACTGGTTACGTTTAATAAAACAAAAAGTGATTATCGATTTTATTCGACTTTCGTTCTGCTTTCAAGGACTCGTTAATAACTCTAAATAGTATAGTAAATGGTGAAGTGACTCAATATAAAGTGCTACTAAATGGTCAATTACAGTAAACAGTAACCTTGAGGAAAGTGGTAAATCCATTATCCGAGAAAAACGTGACGGTTTCATGACATTATATGAACGGACATGATTCAGCTGGTAACGATCTGTTGAAAGGAGTGTTGCATTCTATTAAAACGCAGCTGTCAAATAAGTTGGTTTGGATTAAGCGCGCTCAGTCGTAGCTTTCCCTAGGACAGAAGAACTTATTGTTCAAAGAAGAAAACTGTACGTACGTAAAATAACGTATATCGTGTTAAGATTCAAGGAGGATAGATAATACAAACCGCAGATTTTCGTTCTTGAAATCCTAATTTGTACCTGATCTGTTCTTGTCTTGTACATTTTAAAGGAATTACGAAGAAGAGAATAAAAGGAAGAAATTGTTTTTGGAACCTCCATGAGACCAGTTATAAGATATTTCTGAAACGTGCTCTTGGATATGTTTACTATATTATATGAAAAATATTAAAATTATATTGACAGTGCTTGGGATAAAAAGTTATTAAATTATGAGTCAAGAAAAGAATAAAAGTGATGAAATCATTTACATGGACGAGATTAGTGATGAAAAACCACCGATATCTAAACCAACGGAAGTGAACTTTAGATCACGTTCTAGTTCTATTGCCGAGACTGACAATACAAATAAACCACAACAAAGTGTTGATCCTGATGTCGACCATCTTGAATCGACTACAAATTTCCCGATATCGTTCGATTCTCGAATAGACAATGACTTTTCACCAAGTGAATTGGGAATATCGGAAACCCCACGAACTCCATTTTTAGCGCAAGCACCTCTTCAAACAATACCTGACGTGAATGTTTATCAGCACAAGAAAACGCTCGCACAAGGAATGATGGATTTGGCTCTTTTGTCTGCTAATGCGAATCAATTGCGGTACGTTTTGCAAACTGACGGGAGGCATCCATATTTTTATCCAGCTTTAGTACTAATAGGTTCCAGTTTGTTGTTACAAATTGCCGTGGGAATAGGATTGATTTTGAATAGTAGGTACAACGTTAAGGATGATGATCAAATGTGCAAGGCTGATCGAGCTAATAATTGGACAGTAATTGGTATATTTTTAGTGACGATTTTTAATGTTTTTATCTCATCGTTCGGCGTTGTTGATCAAGTGTCAACAGCAGCTGTAACAGCCTAAAGTTATTAGTGAAATAGTGTTATAAACTGATAAGAAATAATTGTTTTATATCATAAGTTTAATGTATTTAAATAATTATAAGAGGAGATATAGACTTTTATTTTATTATGAAAATGAAACTTGAACACAACAGGGGATTGATTGCAAAATTTCTTCTAACTTTTCAGAAAGTTTTTCCTTTTTTTTAGTTAAATCTTCTGTTTTCTTATTTAGTTCAGCAGAAATTTTTGTTATCCAACCATCCATTTCTGTGTTAGTGTCTTGAACCCACAACAAACGCGAAGTACATGTGGATTTAGAAGCTTGAAAATTCATAGATTCCTCTTTAGATGACAAAGTTTCAAGCTTTTCTCGTATCGTGCATTGTAATAAGGAAATAAATTTTGAAATCTCATCCCAATCTATATCTTCTAAACTAGTATTCAGTGATTTATTGTGTTCATGAACAACAGTTACCTGTAATTTTTATTATCAATATACTATGTTTTATAAAAAAAAAGTATGTAAACTTAATATCAAATTCCTATTATTTACCATCCATTCAAAAAATATATGTTCTTTTTTCAACCATTTCATATGTATATTTAACAAGCGAGCAATAGTGGATAATTCCTTTATATGTTTTTCATCTTCATTAGTATATGCATCTTTATTTGTGGTTGAAATACGTTTTATCAGTGCTGCTTCTGACACATTTAGATGTGGTAAACCACTAACTTTAATACTTGCAGCATGAACTTTGCTTACTAACTTGGATCTCTCAGAAAACAATTCAGATATCTCTTTTATATTGTAATTTACTTTACCATTTAAGTACAATACACTGTCTATTTGTGCAGCGAGTGACTCAGGTACATTATACTCTATTTCTTTCTCCTAAAAAATATTTAAGTTGTAAATAAATCTCTTAATTGATATTTTAACTTTATTTATGTTTAACTAATTACTTTTAAGCTATTTGAGTGTGAACATTCTCTTCCTAATACACTATTAGATAGATTTATCCGAATGATGGTATTCAGGGCAGTCTGTGTTCCAAGAAGCCATGCAAATGCTAATAATAAAGGTCTGTTATATTTATTCTGTTCACTTAAAGCATAAAACTCTATTGCTGGATATTGTAAATATGCAAAACATAATTTGGTAGCCAAAATTATATCTAAAAAGAGATCAATCTTATGAATACCTTTAAATTAAATTAAATAATATTAATTTTTAAATTAAAAATCTATAAAATCAAAGAAATTTACCATATTGTTCAAAATTAATTTCAATTTGTTTTTCTTTTACAGCAAAATAGCTCAATATATTCAATGCTTTCCAAAACATTATAGTCTAATATAAAAAAAATTATGAATTAAAATTTCTTATTTTATAGATATTAAAATATGTAACATTACATAAAGGTTATGCGATACCGTGCATAACACTCACGACATTTTCGTCCACGGCATCATTGAATTTTCCCAACCTAAAATACTCAGGTTTCATTGCAACATTAATCGATAAATTTAAATGCTGACATAATAAAGATAAAACACTTTTTATATCGGACATTATTAAAATTTTAATTGAACAGTCATTTCACGTACACAGACTATAGTTCACGTGATTTCACACACGTTTTATATTTATGCTCTGAAGCTAATTCAAATACTGATTAATTCTTCAGAAAATTCAATTTTCGTAAAAGCCAATTTTCCTTAATATAAAACTTCAATGTTTCCTGAAATTCTATTACTGCTCTGAGTAAACGTCTTAGCGTAATTCCATGTGTTTCCTTTACAATGCTTTAAATACCTGTCATTGTTCTCCAAAATGGTATTGTTAGAGTTAAGAACCGGTTGACTGGTACATGAAGGTTTCTGAAAACAAAGAAAACCACCAGAGTCTATTAACAGGTGGTTAAAACTTTAGAATTTTTACGACAAATACGGATAACTGTTAATTTTACGATTTATTATATTTAAGCGTACGATTTTAATTACACAAGTGACAATAATTAAGATAGAGACACTTTTATTCACATCAGGACGCACCATTTTTTTTAAATGAACAAAATATCATTCGTTTTGAATTACATATATGTATATATGTAATTAATTACTTCCTGTCCTAAATTTTGTATTCTTTATTTAATTTTCTTTCATATTTAAGGTAAATAATAAAAGATTTTACTATAAAAAAAAATTTGAATATGTCATCCAGAAAACTAACATATTAGCTTGAAGTATAGCAAAAATTCAAACATTACAACGCACGCTACATTTTATCTACTAATAAGTAATTAAGTATTATCAGAGTGTAACGAAACACATTATATTGTAGTACATAGTTTCATCGTACCATGTTTCTGGTATACGAATATCTAAAATGTACCGTAGGAATTGCTTGTCCCATTCCCTAGGGCACTACAGCTGGATTATAAGCCATTAAACGTGAGGGAGACTCCACCTGGTATACAAGGAGTACTCAATCGCGCTCGATCAGTCGAGCGTACAGGATCGCCGAGCGATCTGTCGACGATCAAGTCTATACTTTACTGTTTTGTTTTAACCTGATATTATTTCATATAACTTTGGTAACGGTTATTTTTAGAGTCAAAAATCAAGAAAACGACGAGTGCATATCAGAGTAATCCAAATCCGTGACAGACGCGTGTGATCATTTCAGAATATTACAACTAACGAATAAAATAAAAAACAGTGTTTCTCGGTCAAAACGAGTGTGAATTTCGTGGGTTTTATGTGTTAATAACGTTAAATAGTTATAAGAGACAATACGATGATTTTCAAATGTGAAAATATTCGACGAAGATACAGCAGTCTGATTGTTGCGCTCATTGTACATTATCTTTTAACAAAACTGGTAAGCAGATACATATTTTACAAATATGACCATATTGATAATATTATAACATTCGTGACAATAGCGTTTGATTCGTTAGAAATGTGAAAAAATCTGAATAATTTCGATTATTTAAACACTAAGATAAAAATTATAATTTACATATATTTCATTTTCATGAATCGTGTGCTTAAAATATTATTGATTCTATTCTGCAAACAAACCCTTATATCTGGTATCTCACATATATAGTAATTATTGTGTCTGAGGTTAACGAAGTTTAGCTGCATTGTAAATAAACATTTCATCTATAATACCTAGAAAAAAGTTACCAGAAGATAGTAATGTAACGTACATTGGAACGTAATTGTTTACGCAGGTAAAATAAAATTATACTTCTTTGAATATTACATCCATTGCAGAATAAACGAATCTAAATTTAATGGACAGTCTATCGTCATATTTACGTAACGTGAGACCTGTTATCGTGTATGTAATAGAATCCTAATAGACAGGGTAAACTTATATCAGAACGAGTGGATTATTTTAGCAGTCTGGCGCAGAAATGGCAAGGTGTAGTAAAAGAAACAAATGTAATGTATTTTCGACTTTAATTTATCTATTTTTAACTTCTTTTTTATACAGTAATTTACGTTATCTGTTTAGACAACCTGTTTAGAAGATCTGTTTGGAGATTAACGATTAGAAAGGAAAATGAAGGATATTTATTGTTGTATCTCATACATATTCAATATCAGATTTTTATATTTACGATTCATAGAATCCGATAGTATTTTACTGAGAATAGTAAAAATATGGAAAGAAATATATATATTTTATTATCGGATATTGTGAGACACAAGATTTCTGCAGAATAATTATTAATATAATATTGTAATCATTAACATTTTTCACTCTGTGAATATTACGGATTTTGTGACTTCGTTATCATTAATTTTTTTTACTATGTTTATCTACTTATTATCAGAGTATATACTTTGTTTCTTTTTGACCAGATTGTCTTCGTGTTTACATCAAATATACGATTTCTGCGCATTACTTGATAATAAAAATTTATGATGATTTTATAGAAATTTTTAAATTAATTTTGTATATATTTAACTTAAATAACAAACACTTGAAACGTGGCTGATTATAAGTCGTATGCACCGTTATTCTGTTTATAGTCTTGACTTATTTATTCGATGTAAGAAAAGAATGAAAGAACATAAAAGTATGAGTAAAAGAGAGAGAAAGAGTAGCCTACAGGAAAAGGCCTACGAATTCCACGAACTCGTTACTCACATAAAGAATAAAAATGAATAAGAGTTTAACCTTCTATAAGAAGTGATCGATACAAGTTTATATGATTAATAAAAACATAATGATAAATATGTAACGCTGTTATATTTATAGTATATTTCTGATAAAGTAATCACGAATGTATATATATATATGTATATGTATATATATGTTTCTTTGAAACACATGATATTTATATCATTCAGAATGTGGTTGTTGACTTTAAGAATTTTTTTACCTCTTTTATTTTTTACAGATGACACATAGCGTTTATGCACATCCACATCGAAATTATCAAAACGAAAAGAATAATGTTAAAATTCCAGATATTTTAAGCAAAATTAATTTCGAAAAGGATATTGAGTTTGATGAATTATCCTATTCTAGAAAAAGGTTCGAGAGAGACACTTCAAATTCTGAAAATACAGATATGTCAAGTGTACACATTCGACAAAAAGATGGTAAGATTATAAAAGATAATTTATTCCTAAATGATTTTTGACAAAACGTTGAAGAACGTAACTGAATGCATAAACTAATTTAATTTTTAATTAACTTTTATTAATTAATTTTTAATCTTTAATAAAATATATTTGTTTTCTTCTATCAGATTCGCCAAAACGAGAGAGAATGAAGATAAATGATGGAATTGTGTTCCCGGGAGAAATAAGACAGGTACCTATTTGCAAAGGGTCTACCTATTGTGAGGAAGTAGAGTCTTATCCTGAAAACGCAGTAAACGAGGCGATTCAAAGAAACGGAAGAGTATCCGTTGTACGTATAAATAAAAATATTATCTTTTTTTTATAATTATGAAATTAATTATGTTTTATATAAATAACGTAAAAAAAAAATATATTGTTTAAGGAACAAGTTATATTTCCCCAATCAGCGGAGAATAAAAACAACGAATGGAAATTCATCGCGAATCAAGAAAATTTCAAACAGGGTATACGAATTGAGAAGTGTAGGTAAGTGAACACGAAGTATCGAAATATAATTATTTAAAAAATATAAAAAAATATAAAAATATTATTTTTTCAGCAAGGAGAGCAGCAGTTGTAGTGTGATTGGTGGTCTTGCTGAAGGTTATAAAACAAGTTGCAAACAAAAATACGTTTATAGGGAACTGGCATCCATATTAACAGATGGTACAGTTGTTCCAGACACTTTTCGATTTCCATCAAGTTGTTGCTGTCATGTATCTTTCAGTGGAAATCCACATTCAAGAATAGATGTATCGTAGCAAAGTCAAGCTACACCTACAAAAGCACCTAAAAGAAAACGCTCTTTTATAGAGCATTCATTAATATCCCTTTAATTCTCAGAGAGATTTACAATAATTATGCATTTAGAATACATTCGCTGTTGGAAAACAAATCGCGAGAAGAATCTCATATTAAAGTACAACATTACGCCAATATTTGTATAGTAGTTTTATAACTTCTTACAAGTTTCTTCTCCTTATTTATATCGTTAAAAAAATATACTAAAGCTTAAAAAAGAGTAGAGCTTATATTCTTTTGCGAACTCGCGATTTGAATTTTTATATAATGTTCCCAATACAATATATATCTATATATATGCGTGTGTGTGTATGTTCGTGAATATGTAAACAAAAAATATGTATACAATATTTCATATAGAATAGTTTACCAGCTTAGCTGGTGAAATATCTAATATTGTAAAAGACTCGCAGGCGTTTCTTGGATCATCCATATTTTATGGATATTTAAAATTTAATTTAAGAGGGCAGCATAGCTGTTAGTATACACATATTATATATTTAAAGTAGAATCTATCTAAATTTATTTACTTATGTGACTTTTGATTGCATACAATATTTTTTTAAAACTTTTTGATAATTATAGATTTTTCACAACTGTAAAACATTTTGTAACTACAGAGACTACAGGGACGAAGCGAGTTTCTGAAACGAATACGAATTTGTACCATGTGATACTATGTGATATATTAGTCATTGATATCAATATTGTGATTATTAGTTTAAGAATATCGTTTTTTATATATAGTTCCATATACATAATATTATTCATGAATTATAATGTATGTTTATTTTTTATCAAAAAATATATTATGATATAAAAAAGATAATGAAATAATATACTATATCATTACTGCGTTTGTATAAATAATTTATTTGATCAATATCAAAAAGACACGTGAAAGGTGAATTTATATTTATATCCAAAGGGTCCACTTAAATACTTCTGGTTTGTAAATACACGAGTTTATTCTTACATATTAAATACAATACTTACAATTATATCCTATTTATTGTTTTGTTGTAACACTTTCTATGGTTAATCCAACATTTATGCATTATGAATTTAAAACTTTTTTTAATTCAAATTTCAAAGGCATAAATAATTATTTAGCATGTACAGGGGGTTAATATGTATTCAAGAAGTTATATTTACGTCTAGATTAACAATTTCTTTCTGTTTAAATTATTTAGTAAATTCATAGATTTACATTGGTTTAAAATAAGTTTCTTATATTAATTAGTCTAAAGAATTTCTTTGGAACCCCCTGCCCCCTTCTTTATGTTTAACACTGGTCCATGATTATATTCTTGAGAGATCACAATTTATAATTTTAAAATATAACAAACAATGGTTAGCATAATTCATGAGGTTTAATAGAATGGTTATAGACTAGGCAAATACATATAAATCATTTTCTCAATTTTTGACACATCTACGTTTCGAAAATTACCTAATGTAGGTTTATACACCCTATTTAGGGATGAATACAGAAGTAGGAAAAATGGGCCGTGCTTTGTGAACATGGATGTTCACCATATATACGCTAGAAATATTTATCCATTAGTCAGCACAGGTGAACTATGCAAAATACATTCTTTCATTTTCTTTTTACAAAAACCCTACTAAGTAACACGGTGTACTTATATTTGTATTTCCAAGTATAAGAACAGTACTTAATACTTATCAATGATAAATCTACTGCTGTAAAAGTTGTTCTCATATAAAAGAAAAACAAGTAAATACGATTAACGTGTAAAGTAACAGTTATTATGTTATTACATTATCATTTACATCAATAAACATCAATTTTTCACTAATGGAAGAGTAATTGTAAGTTATAAAAAAATACATCTGAAAAAATTGTGTATATAATATGGCAGTTTCTGTTTCTATTAAGTATCCAGTAGTCTTTACTGTGAAAGTAAAGTTCCAAATAGTATGGAAATTAAATGCTCCTTTATAGTTGAAGTATTAATTCTAGTTGTAAAACCATCTCTACACAAACGAGAGTAACTTTTCATATGATATATTTAACATATATCAAGGAATAAAAACATTTTAGATTTTTGTTTGTGTCATTTTTGAACATGCTCAAAGTATCTTCCTTTAGCATATTCTGAAAATACAGTATAGTTGACATATACGTTCATCTTCATATGAAGAACACAAGTATTAAAACTCAGTCATTTTTTTTTTTTTTTTTAGTCCCATTATAAGATTAATTGCAGAGCAGTCTGAAAGTGCTTTATAATTATCTTCAACATGCCTGAAATGAAAATAATAGATATTCTTTTTAAGAGCATGTATGCTTAACTTCTGTATAGTATCTTATTGTTTATTCATTATGTACCTTGACACCGTATGCATTATCATAACCCCCTTTCATTTGCATCTGTGCCTGAATATTTGACAATTGTGCACTGCTCATATCTAGATCACCACTACTAATGTGTCCAGTATGCCTAAAATTTGTAGGTACTCCTATCATGCTACGGTCTATCCTTAGCCTTTGATGTGACCTTTGCCTTCCATTACGTGCTCTTGGTCCTTGTTGCATTAAGCAACAGGTAAAACACTGTACCCAAAGTTCTCCACTACCAGCCATAATTTCTGTCAATTATGTTTATTTTAGAATCTAAAACATAATTTAAAATATATAAGATAGTCTACAAAATTTTGTTACTACATGTGATATATACATATAAATGATTTTATTGTAAATCTGTAAAAATATAGTTAAGGATAACGTTAATAAAAATTAAGATGAAATTTACATTAAAAAATTATCAAGTACAATATAAAATTTCGTTCTTTGTTATGTTTAAAAAAAATTTGTATAAATCAAATTGATAAATTCCCTTCATAATTCCGCGAATGAGTCAGACGTAGAGACGGATAAAGAGTACGTGTACTTACCAAATCGTCAAGTGATTGTACTGTCGTTTGGTCTAACCTTCGCGATAGCTCGAGATTCAAAGGCAGAGAAAAGCAAAACAAACATTCCCTTTTGATCGATAAGTTTACATGTGCCTGCAAAGGACATCCAATCATTTCATATTTCACTACGTAAATTAAAGTTTCAATAATATTAGAATTCCATGAGGATGAAATAATTGATTTCGTGAGAAAACAAAGAGAAGCTAATGAAACATACCGGTTTGCAAGATGTAGACTTTCGTATTAATTTCCACAAGGCACGTAGAAATGCGTCCTTCTTTCCACTTCTAATCTATTCATTAAACCATCTTAAGATGATAGTTTTTCACTACATGTTTTATTGATATACTTTGTATAAGATTGAATGGTAAATATTTAATACCTTTTTTCTGAAATAACACGGATGACGTTCAAAAGAAATTCGAATTTGTAGTAGAACATAAAAACCGAATGTCAATGTGATCAACGGTCATCCGTATAGTGAATTATACTATATATTGCAAGAAGCCGAGAAAATCCGAAGAAAGTCGAAGATTGTCGAATGTTACCGATCCATAGCATCCCGATCAGTAAATACACAAAGAGTAGCTTAGCTAAATATAGCAATAAACTTATTGGGTCGGTTCCTTTTTTAACAGTTGGCACAAATATTAAATAATTAATAATTTGTCTCATAAAAACACATAAATTAATAAATTTTGTTATTGTTACGTTGTACATTTGTTTTGTTGCGAGGATGCTTGCATGCATGAACAATAGAAGTATGACGGTATGACATGAATACGCTTTATTAAATAAATTATATACAGGTTCTCACATACAGACATTGTCGCATCATCAAAATGCCATACTTACTAAATAAAATATAAATTATTATATGAAGATTTTCGACTACAATAACATTGACTTTAGAGGCCTTTACTCTTGAATTAACATATACATACATATAGTTCCAAATACTCCCATTATTTTGCACATTAGGTCTTGCAACTATATTTTATTACTGGAAGAAAACAACTCTCTAAAATAACATTTCACTAATTTTCATTATTATAAACACAATTTCTATTCAAGGAAATTTTATGCGAAATATATCAAATTCTGATTTTATTACAAACCCTAAAGAAGAGAGTATTGTAATTTTTTATGCAAGTGCCTAGAAGATGTAAAAAATACTAATAACATGTACATATCAAATGTGAAATCTGAAAATGATTTCATGTTCCTTTCTCGTACCGCCCCAAATTCCTACTCCTCTGTGGTGTCCCCTATTCAGGACAACATGTATCTGGTTTATAATAATAGATGTTATTAGAATTATCACAGTCTGTGTATTTACAGTTTAAACGTTAACGTAACATCCTTCTTAAATTAATTTAGCAACGTTTCTTTTTCATGGTGGTGTTGTACTGAAAAAACTTTAAAGGAATTAGCTCCATCGTTGCGCATGGACGGCAGAGCATTACGAAAGAGAAAAAATGATTTTCAATTCGTATAAGATGAAAAGAAAAATGGGAAAAGAATACTTTAAAGGTATGCATATCGGAACTAATGTTTTCTATACCTACTGAATAAACTTGCATATCGTACGAAATAATGTAATAACTTAATTATTAGTTACATCTTAAAGTTGGACATGTCTTATTTGTATTTTGTATTTACATCTTAAGTATTTATACAACGTTACGTGATAAAAATCTGAAACGTTTCTCTGTGTCTCTAATTTTATCGACATATTTTGTTTTGTTTTTACCTATTTATCTGGACATTGGTAAATTTTCAATCTCTTTTTTAATTCTTCAAAGATTGTAGACTATTTAAACGCCCAATAGAGTAACACCTTATGCTTCAATTGTAAGGCAGAGTCGAAAGATATAAAAAGATCATAAAAAGAAAAAAACGAATATAACAATTCTTTGAAAATTATACAAATGATGAACAGAAGGAATCATAAATGATTATAACTACGACTCATTCTATTCATTTAGCTCTTCATAAAATTTTAATGAGAACAAGAAAAATACTTCATGAAAGATAATCAATTTTTTTTGAAACTTCAAATTCTGATATCCTTCTGTATGTAAATAAATCTGTTCTTCTTATTTTCCACTATATAAATTAATTCTCTGCCTTTATTGTGTGTATTTCTTTCTCAAAACCTATTGTGTATGCAAGTATCTTTCTCTTATTAAATTCTGATTGGATCCCTAGGAATTGAAGATTCTTTAAAAAACTATTCCTCAATCAAAATACACAACTCTTTCAATCAATCAGATAAACAAACGACAATCATTCTCTGTTCTACCGTATTCTGCACGCTGTACATTCTAATCGAAATGGAAGAATAACAAGTATTCTATCGTGCGAATCCAAGAAAGTCCGTGAGTCTGTCGTTCCAATCATGAAGCCAGTGTGTGGGTCCATGACTCGCTTGCCTCTGTTTGCAAGGATTGATTTCTGTCTCCAAGGGCATGTATTCCTCGCCCCTGATACAGAAATAACTTTTTATTGGACTTCTGCACATCGGACATCGATCTAGTTTGCCAAAACAGGATGCACAGATGCAAGTATGCCTGCAGGGTAGCAAAGCACGCGATAAAGGAAAGTATTGGCAAACAACGCAGAGCTGTTCTCCGGCTGTATTCCATAGCGATCCTTCAGGATCGCCGGTACCAGAAGCAACTAATGCACCTCTAGCCGAACTACCACTGTTGTTACAAGGCTCTGCAAGGGCTAGAGCTGAACCCAAACCCGAAGACACATCTCCTTCATCATAGTTTGTTGAGTTGCCAGTAGCTAGATATAATTGCTACAACAAAAACAGTTACATGATAGTACCTATATCATTTTGCGTCAGTTTTGAATAAAAATTTTAATATAAATACCAATGCTTACCTTAAGACAGGATAACTGACCATTGGCTTGTTTCAGATATTGTGCCAGGATCGAGGTGGGTAGTGTGCATACGCTGTCTTTGATGTGGACAACATTTACCAGAGCCACCTTCCAAAATAGCAAATAGAAAGAGTAAATCAATGCAATTCTAAGGAAACCTAATTCAGTTTAATTAAAAATTATTCATATTTTTTACACAATTTAAAAGGTACTCACAGTCTCATCTGGATGGGGATCTCCGTTATCCCTGCGCGTTAGGAAGATCACCAGAGGATAACAAAGTCTAGGAGGCGTCCCGAGTTCTAACTCTGGTGCTGGGAGTGACAATCTTAATGTTTCTTCTCCGTGAGGTTGTCTACTGCATTTCTCAATTAAGGAATAATTAATATCATTAACAACACGTTAATTTCAATATAAATATTTTCAAGATACGGAAGATAATAAACTCGAGAATTTAAAATAGAAAAAAGGATTTTATTTTCGAGGAAAGGATACGTCTGTGGCAATGTGAGATACTGTGCGTGGCCTTGAAGAAGATTGCCATTCAAGGACGCGTCTCTAAGAGTGCTCCAAGGTTTCCAAAGTGCCAGGTGAAGTTCCCTTATACTAACGCCCCAAAGTGCCTGCAGAGAGTACTCGACTTGACTCGATACCTCGCATTCGACCTCTGTAACAAAAAGATAAGGGAATATTTTAATATCGTACCTATACGTAAGATTGTATAAAAATAACACAAGCAAAGAATTTGGAACTTGTTCATAGGAAAAAATATGTGTAACAAACAGAACAGTCTTGCTCTGTTCGTTCACTGTGGACCACCCCGTTACCATTTACATCATTATAGATGTATTCATTCATTTATACAAATAACGACATACTTATTATGCTTTACGATTACCTGACAGGCATGGCAGATAGCAAAAAAGGACAACGTTATCCGTTCCTGATTTATCGACCTGGATCATTCAGAATGTACGTTATACCGAACCGTTCATAATGCTGTAACATAAGAGCACGACAGAGCAGCATGAGAAAAGAGCTTTGCAGTGATATGTTACCCTGTTATTTCACATCGTGACGTTACTCAAATTGATTATGTAACGAGCCCACTTTCAACTTTTTTCCCTCTCGTCTAGCTTCAAGATATCTCCATCGACCAACGAGGTTTCTAGGTCATGTGTGAGAGGAGAGACCACGGCACCTCCTCCAGTTCTAATTCTCGCAAACACTCCTATTGTTCTCCGCGAAACAACCCAAGGAACACCTAGGAAACCTGCTTGGCTTATGGCCGTTACAGTACCATTTACGATTCTTACCTCCACGACCTTCTCTGCATTTCTCTACAACGTTTGATCAATAATTGCGGTTTATTAACTTATGTATATAATTATATTATGCAGTAGAAAATTCTGAAACTCATATTTATAAATAACAACCGTGAAATTATTTTAAAGCAGGTTGCAGTCTGTCAGGTCAGGTAAATATAGATCAAGGTATACAACAACTAGAGTGTATGACAATTGTTACTTGGGAACAGGAGCTGAAACGTGATGCTTGATACGTTGAACTTTAACAAGTCACGATGTAACTATTCCTCGAATGAGTCACGGTAACACGGATCTCAAGAACTCTGTCTTTCTAACGTCTTCACGCAAACTATGACCATAACTTTAAGCTCTAATCATTGATACATTCATAAATCTTCCATCATCTTTGTCACACTCATCCATGCTAATAAACCAACAAGTAGATCAGTTTACTAGGCGAATTAACGAGTCGTCGTACTCAGAAAGAGGAAAAGCCTACAAATTATGTCTCGTGATGAAAAACGAAATAGGAAGCAGAGAATCGTGACATGAATCATGGTAATTCATGACTCCCGCGAGCAATCGTGGCCAAAGATTACTGTCGTTCGGATAGAGGCCATTGTCGAGAAGATTTGAGATCATGCGAGACTGGTATGAACGAAAGTGAAAGCTGCCAAGACGGATCGTCCAACGCGGTAATCTCCAACTCGGGCAAAGTATCAAATCAGCCATTTCACGAAGCCGCAAAATGGCAGAAAACTGACTGCTTTCATACAAGGACGTGTATTTTCGAACGCTATACGCGATTAGAACCTATCCTTTCTCGGAGTTTCTCGAGGTAGATTACCAGTCTCTTTGATCAATTGTACGCAAGGCCTGAGGTCTTTGGCTGATCAGAGATCCAGGTTCGTAAATTTCATTTTTCTTTTCTTTTAAACGACGGACATATTTAACTTAATTTATATCATAGTACTTTCAGCGCGTCGAATGGGTCTTAGGTGGATAAGAATCTAACTCCAGCAAACGATCTTCCGATTATCTGAGGTAATAGGAAAGTGCGCAATTCATCGCTGCACATACTAAAACTAACTTGTACAAACTGGGGAAGAGTTGTGCAGATACTAACGCGGTTACTGATAAACAATTTGGGGCAGATTAGATACAGTGTTTCCATGAAGTACGGGATACGTAGAAGCGAATTGCGATAATGTCGAGGGGCAAAGAAGTTAATAAATGTTAAACGTGACTGTTGCAATTTTCTGTTAATATCGTGTTGCTAATGCAGTACAAATATTCTTTGTAATAATTACAGTGTCTTTTCTTTCAGCTCCTTTCGATAATGTGAACTAGATCCACCTATGCCACGATATGAATCAAGAGGCTGGTCAAAAAATATAGAAATCAAATTCCTACAATGGTGCAACACGTTCTAATGCAATCTGGGTATGCCGCAAGATTCGGCTTACGTTCTCAAATATTTTTTTTTTATTGCCAAGCTACACGGTAAGTGCAGAATTACACAATCTCGAGTTAAAGCATGGTCGGTCAAGCACAACTGGAGTGGTTGGTAAAGACTTAACACGTAGGCTGTCACAATGAGCTGAGAGATGTGGGTCAAGCTTCACGAATGATATCCTAGAAGTTCTGGAGGAAACAGGGATCTGACTTTGCAAGGTGAACTAGTATACCTGGCACGTATGAAATCCTAGAATATTCCAGATAATCCGAGATTAATTTAAATACGGATTGTTACAATCTTAAGTTTAGAAACGGAATTAAACCTTGAAGGCACTTATCGATTACGTTCCTCGAGATCAGGCCTAGAAATCTGATTCTTCGATCGTTTCAGAATGTAAAGAAGAAACTTCTTTTTGTCGAGTGTTCTCCTGCATGGAATTACTTCTAAGACAGTCGGCGGGATTCAACGTAACTCACTCTGAAATATCAATGGTCTCTTTCGTTCGATCAGGCAAGATTTGCGGACCTTCTCGAGCGGAGAATACGCCATGATCGATCAGTCGAGCGGTACAACGATCGTACGTGTCGAATGGATCGGTGAAAGGCCAGTCAGCCAACCAACCAGTCAGATAGACTGCAACTACACAGACACGTTGCACTAAGTTCACCCAAGGTGCAACAAAATGAACACACGTGATTCGTTGCACTCGTGGAGCCATAATGGATCGTACTGACAATATGCCATTTTAACTGCCTGCAAACTGGTTTTTGATACCGTCCAGTAGAACGTTACAAGTTCCAAGTGTTCGATTTAAAAGACTGTAATTAACCCAAATTCCTGGAGACAGTTCAGTGGCTCGGTTCCGAGACGCGGTCATAACTTTTTCCTATCACCTTCGTAATCTATATCATCTAATTATCTAACTCCGTTTTCATTAAGCAACTACGAATTTCGACATTCAATGCTGCTGTACGAGCCTAACGATTAGAAACGAGGAAATATCGTAGCAGTAACGTAAAGGTTAAAATAGGACATTGACATAATTGGATCTAATATCTGACAAAGCTCTTCGTTTTTTGAGCACTTTTACGCGATTAAAATTCTCAATTCCGATCAGAATCGTAGCGCTTACTATCGCAATGGCAATCTGGGATTGTCGATTATCAAATGTCGTTACACAATCTTCGCAGACCCACTAATCCGTTCTCCTGGTTGCACCAGCTGCTTGTGGAAATCGGACCATTTCGCCTGCACATGCCCGTCTCCGTTTACGAGGTAAACTCCGTGTACAGCGTTGGCCGAGCGCAAACGCGATTACGGTAATACCGACGTAACAGAGAGAAATTGTGAAATTGCTCTTCCTTTTTCGTTGCACGAGCCTGAAACGATAAAAACTGAGTCGAAGGTCGCGATGGAAATTAAATACGGCGACATTTACGAACAATTTTATCGGTCGTTAAGCGATCGAATTAATTTTCATTGTCTCTCTATATTTTTTCACACGGATACGCCTTCAATTGACACGATTTAAATGGAAATGGCGATTCAGAAGACTTCTATGAATGAACTGATTAAAAAGTCGAACAATGGACTATAGCGATATATACGCAAGAGAATGTTCTTCGTTTCTCTGGCATGAGATACCAAGAAGACAAAAATTCGCTTGGACATCCTTGAAATTGCTTTCAGCTGTGCCTCTTATTGTGCGGCGAGGCTTCACGTTTCACAATTACTTCGTTACTGCGTTGAACGATCTCTCGTGTTTTCCTCAATTTTTCACGTGTCTTTTGTTGATACTATCGACGGTATCTTTTCATTTCCAGCCGCTGTGCATTCTCTTTTTTGTCACGTTGATGGGTTACTACGTGTCTCGACCGACTCTCGAGGCTTCTTTTTCCCCATCCCAACTGTGACTCAACTTCTCAGCAACCGGAGTGTTTCAGGGAACGGATGCAGCAAGAGTGGATGCTTGCTCTTTCGACATTTCGCCGCTGGATTAAATACGCTCCGCTACTATTTGCGAGTCTTAATTCATTGGGAAAAACACGTTTGTTGAAGATCGTCCTGTCTGTTGTTTTCTCCATGTTGAATTATGTATTCAAAATGAAGTCTCTGCGGACGAGGTGCAAAAATAATAACGTATGGAATACGTACAGGGTGTCCTGTTTGAGTTGGCACAGCGAAATATTCCACGTGAAATATACCACTCTGTAATTACACCCTATAATATTTTAAATGAAGACCGGATCAACGATAATGCAGAGAATAATAAAATATGAGCAGCACCTTGAAAGAAGTGTCTATCTGCCAAAATTGTGCTTCAAGATATTCAAAGATGAAACCTCTTTCGTTCGCAAATGTTGGTAAGAAGCCGAGAGTAGGGTATAAAAATTCGCTAATTGGAAAAACGATCTCTTTCCGCAATAAACGCGACATTCGATCTGGCAAATAAAATTACTATGCCGCGTACACGTCCGAAACGGTCAATCATCGTTTCCCTGGTTCGTGGGAAAAAGGAGCAAATTAACAGTCGGTAGAGAAATGAATGGAAAGTATGTACGTATTACCATTTCCATATCGACACCTGAACGCAATGGTATCGGTATGGGAGTGGGAACGTCGAATTCCGGCGATCAAACGAACCATATTCGTGTTCCTATTCTCTTCTCTTCGCTTTCCCCCAAAACGCGTTCGCGTTATGATTCACATAATTCGAATGTATTCTCAGATGGTAATCGGAGTCAGGGCCAGTATCGCCACCTGGAATCTGTTATTCTAACTGGACTATCCTTTCGGGAACGATTTCGTCGGGAAACGAAATTACGCGTGACATATGACGGTGAAGACAGAGCTGGAATAAAATCGGGAAGGTCTACATAAATGGCAGATTCGATGGTCTCT